TTTCCCTACCGATCTCTGGTTTGTTTAAGTAAAGCATCACTGATGCTTTTGTCGACAAGAAATCAGTCTCTACAGTCTCACTTCATGAGAGATTGATATAGACAGAGAAGGTGACTCTCCTTTTCACATAAAACCAAGGTTTTACAGTCTGAACTGCCGGAGAAGCCGACCACCAGTTTTACTCTGCACTCTCAAGATTTCCTTTGCAAAAGACTGATTCCCGGTTAACAAAAGCCCATCCAAAACTCGATTAAAAGTGAATTTCCTCGGTATAAACCCCCTCTCTACCATCTCAATCAAAAGTTTACCAGCCACCACCATATCTTCTGGTCTTTTTCTCACAAACATGGCACTTATCACTATGTTATATGTGTCGAGATTAGGCAGGCAATCCCCACTGCCCATCTTCTCGAACAAATCCAACGCCCTGTCGATCTCTCCGCAATCAGAATCATATCTTATCATAATGTTATACGTCTGGACATTTGGCTCACAACCTTCTTTCTTCATCCTCTGCATAAGCTCCACTGACCGATCAAATTGTCCTGCATGACACAACCCCCGAATCAACACATTATAAGTCGTCACATTCGGTTCGTACCCTTTCCTCGACATCTCCTCAAAGACCACAATTGCATTTTCCACACTATCCTTCTTACACAACACCTGGATCAAAGCATTGTAAGTGGCTACAGAAGGAAGGACTCCTTCTCTAATCATCTCGTCAAAAACATTTCTAGCCCGTTTGATCTCCCCTGCAACGCCAAACCCGTGAACCACGGTTGTATAAGTAATGACATCGATCTCACGTTTTCGTTTCTTCATCTCCAAGAAAAACTTCCAAGCTTGGTCAACCTGTCCAGCCCGGAAAAACCCTTTGAGCATTGTGTTGTAAGTGGTCAAATTAGGGTTTATCCCTCTCTCCACCATCTCCTTCAACACCTCCAACGCCTTGGGAGTTCGTTTGACCAAACACCAACCATTAACAATCACATTATACGTAACTACGTCAACACTAAATCTTCCTCTAAGAGCCCTAAACAATCCATAAGCTTTCTCCACGCGTTTGGACTTGCACAGCAAATCGAGAATCGTATTGAAAGAACTCAAATCCTGGAAACACCCATGTTCGTGCATGTTCAGAAAGAGCTTCACTGCACGGTCGGGTTTTCCGGCGGAGGCGTACCTCTCGGCGACGATGGAGAAAGTCCTCGGCGAAGGACCGAGACGAAGGGAACGCATGCGGTGGATGAGGGACCACACAGCAGAGTGCAGGCGGAGACGGGCGGCGATGTCGACGGCGAGGTCGAAGGAGGAGGCAGCGTGGACGTAGACGCGGTGGTTGCGGTCAAGGAGGTTGAAGAAATCGAGGGCTTTGGGTCCGTGGTTCCATAGCCGCTTGAGGACGGAGTCGACAAGGGATGGAGTCCATTTGATGGTCGAGGAGATTAGGGCTTCGGTTAGGGTTTTGTGGGTTGTGGTCGGGGAGAGGATGAACTTAGCTATGGCGGCGGCGGATTCCGGTGGCGGGGAAGGCGGTCTCCGGTGAGTCTCGGCGGCGGCACAGAAGGATTTAGTGAAGACACAGCGCATTATTGTCGGGACAGTGGAAGAGACTCGGCCGATTTAACGGAGTCGTTCGCGACTCGGGAAAACGCACAAACGGGTCATCGAGTCGAAGTATTTGGTTCTAATTCAAAAAAAAAATTATGCTGAATTAATTAAATTTGCCAAAAACGTACAAACGGTTCATATAATTATGCTGAATTAGGGATGTCAAAGGTGCCGGCTCGTACTAGCTCGGGACCCGCTCGTTTCGAGTCAGTTTATTTTCAGCCCAGCTCGTTAAGTCCATTTTTATTTGGGCTAGAAAATTCCTGGCTCAACCTAAATCACTTAGCTCGCGAGCCGGCTCCCGAATCGGTTCATATTTTTCTAAATATCTAAAAAAAATCATATCAAATTATATAAAATCATATCCAAATGATATATCAACATAAAAAGAACATACCAATATATTCAAATCATATTTATATTCACAATCACAATCCATATACAAAAAATCATTTTTAAATAGATAAAATCATAATCCATCCATTTACAAAAAACCATTTTCAGATCTTAATCCATCCATATACAATTAGATCTTAATCCATGTACAAAAAACTATATTCAGATCCGAATCTATACATAAAAAATTATCTCCAAATCAAAATATTATACCAACAATATCAACACTTTCAAGTTTCAACATAAAATTTTTTTTTTTACTCCAGCCCGGGAGCCAGCCGAGCTAGCTCGTTTGGGCTCGGCTCGTGGCGAACTGGCTCACTCTACCCATTTTTATTTGGGTTCAGATATTCTTGGCTCGTCTCGGTAAAAAATGAGCCAACATCGAGCCGGCTCGCGAACTCGGCTCGTTTTGACATCTCTATGCTGAAATAATTTTATTTTTAATATATATATATACATATTAATTTAAATAAATTATTTAATTTAAATTTTGTTTAAAATGATAATGTGATACAATTAAATGATGATGTGTGTATAATTGAAAAATCATGTTACATCATCATTTTTATTTGAATTGTTAAAAGCGAAAAAATTTCCGTAAATTTTTAAAAAATTCAAGATTTTATTGGTTAATCATATAATTTTTTTCATCGATATGAAGAAGAGTACAGTATTTTTTTAGGAATTTTTCATTAGAATATTATATTTTAAAATTTTTAAAACTCAAAAAATTTCTCTGCCGGCCTAATCCATTCGCTTGGGAGTATTTTTTTAATAAAAAAAAACTGAAATCTAATTGGGCCTAGTAGCCTATAATATCTGATGAAGAACGTGGGCCTTAAGACTCGAATGACAATGTAGGCCCAAAGTCTTACTCGGCCCAGTGCTTTGAAAACTCCAAGTCCAAGTGCGTTGATTCCGTTCAAATTTCTTCATGACTTGTAATTAGCAATTTCTATTATCTTTTCCTTTGCCGAATCGGAAAAATTGGGTAGTCCCAGTGTGGCTGATCATCCCATGATATTAAAAATATAAAAATATCATCGAACAAATTGATGAGTTCATCCATCCACACATGTTCACAACTCACAAGACACCAGACATTAAAAATAATCCCATATAAATTATATAATCCGTTAATAATCTCCAATAAAATTTTTAAATCGTATATTTTTAATATAAAATGTATCTAATTTGATTTATTATTATTATTATTATCATTATAATTTTAGTTTTTATGTATTACTCTTTAAGTAAAAAGCGAATTGAGAAATTGATATAGGATTGATTCTTCCTATAAATTTCTAAATTTTTTTAAAAAAAATTGTTTTAGTACAATATAGATATATGGACAAAAAAATGTCTAATAACAACGAGAGCGAATTTAAATTCTATGTATTTTCACCTAATAAAAATTAAAGGTGTTTATATTAAATTAGGGAGAAATTGATTTGAAAATATCGAGATTAGTTTGGGAGGCAACATCGAGATCTCTGCAACGACCAGACAAGAGTCATAGCCTCTGTTCGCAACGAAGACAATGGAAAAAGAGTTCGCCATTACCTGCTTTTTCTTTGTCCTAAATAATTTTTAAATTTCACATTATAAATTATGATGAATAACTATAGAATTAGTTAAAATATAAAAATTATAAATTTATATTTTTCCAAACTTTACCATCTATAATTTTTTAACGATTATTATTATTATTATCTGAAATAATCAATTATATTTATTTTACATTTTCATTTCTGAATCTTTGTCATTTCCAACATCGATTTATTTATGTAAAAAAAAAAGTATTGATATTTTAAAAGATATGTAAAATTATAAAATCCAAGTGTTGATAGATTTATTTTCTTTTACATTATTTTATTGGGAAACAAGTTCTGGGCATTGACTTTGGATTTGGCACAAAAGCCAAAGCAAGAAGAGATTCCTCAACGAGGCAACAAAGTAACACTCTCTCTTTTGCTTTTCCCTCCCTCTTTAACCGATTTTATTTTATTTTGTCCCGGCTATGTATATTTCTTTTTTTTTTGTTAATGCTAATCCTAATATAATAAAAAGAAAAAAAAAACTTGTCAAATAGATACACAAGAAAAGTTTAAATAGTAGGTTAGATTCCATTATAGAACTAACGATAATAAATTTGCTTCAAATTCCGGAATTTACTTATGTTTGATCAAATTTTTCTCATATTTTGATAGGTTTTATTAAAACATTATCCAATATTTCAAAGCAAAATGTCGTATTTAATATATATTTTTTCAATTAAAACTCTCAAGAATTTTGTCAATAGAGATGTTGTAAATGAAAACAAAATGACATGGTTTTTTGCCCATGACTTCAAAAAAAAAAAGTGCAACTTGTTCTTGGGTACTTTGTGTTATTCTTTGGACGGATGAGTTTGACAAATGACAAGAAAACAAAGGACTTTCTTGGTTTTATTGAATATATATATAATATATTGATTTATACATAGAAAATACGGCAAAAAAACATTAGTATGATATAAGTGTGATACGTACTTTTTTTTTCAAAAGGTAAAAAAAAGAAAAAAATATATAAAAAAGAGAAGAAGACAACCCACACGAATAGCCACTTTTGAAATGTTAGACAACACACACAAATTGTAAACCTTTTTCTCTTTTGCTTTTGTCTTTGTCTTTAATCGCTCGTGGGAGTCCAATGTATTCGTGCGTTAATTGTGGTATTTATGTATAATTTATACTTTTATTGTTTTTTTATAATTATTTTTATTTTAAAAAATAATTATTATTGTGTGTATATGCATGTAGTAATGAAAAAATCAGAATTTATTATAGCAAATTAAATGCGGATTCATCTAGTATATTATTCTAAAATAATATCTAACATATAGAACAATTTTAAAGTTTTCCTATGTGTTTTTAGTATTATATGAATATAGTTTCTCATGGTAAGAGTTATCGTTGATGATTTTTTCAGAAGTCTAATTTAAAATATTTTTACTTTTTTTTAATAAACCTTCTTCATATGTATATGATCTATAAATATGTATAATACCTCTCATTGTCTATAGGTTCCTAGGCCAAATTATAAAAAAAAAAAATCCGAATGCATACTACTTTCAAAATTTTAAATTCAATTTCATATTCGATGTGACCATTTTTTGTGTGTGTTTTATATTTGACAAAACAAAATATTAATGCATCACTCAACTTGTCATTTTTATCAATAAGCTGTTGTTGTTTCATAATGATTTCCAACAACAATTGCTTTTGGGCCACTCTTACCGAATGACATATGGAATTGTCTGTTTATCCAAATCAAATTAGGATGTGCCATGTTTTATTTTGTATGGTTTATATTCGGATTTAATTATTTCAATATTTAAAAAAATTAAATATATTCTATTTTCTACGTTAATTTTTGAATCGATTAGGATTTTATTCAATTCACTTTGGATTTAAATCAGTAAAAAGACATTCATTTTTTAAATTCGTTTTTATTTGATTATTTATTTTATAGTTGAATTTTAATTTGATTTATATATGACGTCCAAAATTTGACTAATATGTATTATTCTGATCATATAATCACATATAGAAAAGGGTTATGTATAGAAATAATTTTACCAAAATGAGAGTATTTTGGATATTTTCTTCATTAAATTGTTCATATGAGTTTATTACTAACTATCGCAAATAGATTAATGGTCGAGAAATATCATGGTTTTAGGTGATCTACTTTAATTTTTTTTGGATTATATACTTTAAAATTTTAAGATTATATTTAAATTGAGCTCTAAAAAAATGACGTTCTAATTTAATTGAAACTGCAATCATATAATAGTATTAACGATTAAAAATTACATAGGTTTGATGTAAACTTATAAATCATAGGTATAAACTATAACATCAGACAACATATTTTAGATTTTAAAATCATATTATATGAAAGATGTGCCAAAAATCGAATCTTTTTTAATCGATAAAGACAACTTAAATTTTTTGTTAGATACTCTATATATTTAGATAAAAATTTAGTTTTTGATGAATTGAACAACATATATTTATATTAATATTGAATTTAAAATCTATTATATATTTTTAATTAAAAATGTAATAAATAAAAATTTAAAATAAATAGTTCTGTTTAAAAAATTAAAAGTGAATCCAAACTAAAATATAATCTAATATAAATATGAATATGTTTATATATTTTCAAAATCAATAAATATAAAACCAAGAAAATAGGAAATTTCATAACATCAAATATTGTTATTTTCTGATTTCAAAATTTTATTTTTATTACCATGATTTTCCTCCTAATCTAATTTTTTAGGAATATATTGTTTACAAGTATGTCAAAATTTACTGGATTTTTTGTGTGTGGTCACAGCATAATATATTTGTCTCTCTCTCCCCTTGGTAACTTTGTGGATTGTCAACGCTTCAAAAGAGGAGCGTAGGAAGCTTCCTCCTCTCTCTCCCTCTCCCCAATGGCGCAACAAATGTTCTCTCTTTAAAACCCCTAACCAAAGATCCTCCCAGTGTCTGACCCCCTGTGTTGCTTTACTCTCTCTCCCTCTCTCTGTGAAGTCCAACGCTGCAATTTGAGCTCTTGAGCCAGAAGAAGATAAGCTAAAACTGAGAAGGTTGGATCATTTTCTGCCTCTTCTCTTTCTGGGTTTCTCAATTTCTACCAAATCCTTTTTTCTGTTCGGTGGGCTTTTGGTTTCAGTTTTGCTTTCGCTTCCAATTGCTTAAGATTTTGGTGAATTTCCTTCAGATTCGTCCTGCTTTAACAGACCCATGAACGATTTCTTCTGGGTTTTCTCCAATTTCCTGACTTTGACGAGAAATTTGCTTTCTTTTCGAGTAGTTGGAATTGGAATCGAATTCTACTCCACGAGAAAAAACCCAGAATCTTGCGAAAATCTCTTACCCATTTTCTTACAGAACAAGGCTTGGACTTTTGGAGAGATTTCACTTCTGATTGATGTTCTTCTCTTGGCAGATGGGATTCTCAGGTTGTAAAAGAAAACGGCGAGAAGATGATAAAGATACCTCATCAACAGCAACTGGTTTCGCCATGGATGAGCTCAACGACGACATTCTCGAGAAGGTCCTCTCATGGCTTCCAACCTCGACTTTCTTCCGCCTTAGCTTCGTCTGCAAGAGATGGAAATCAATGGCGGAATCACGAAGCTTCAAGCTCGCTTGCTCCCAGATTCGCTCTCGTGACCCTTGGTTCTTCATGGTGGACAGCAACCTCTCTCTCTCCTTCCTCTTCGATTCCTCCGACAGCAACTGGAGAAACCTTAGCCACTGTCCCTCTCTCCCTAACCGGAATCTCATGCCCGTCGCCTCCTCCGGCGGCTTACTCTGCCTCCGCCACGGCGTCTCCGGCGACTTCCTCGTGGTTAATCCCGTCACCGGAGCTTCTCGTGAGGTCCCTCCTCTCATCTCTCGAGATCAAGAACCTCTTCACGCCGTTGCAATGACGACAAAATCTACTTGTCATGATCATTCTTACCCTAATTACAAGCTCATCGCTATCTCTGGAGAGATGTCGAGACTCTCTTTCAGAGTCTACGATTCGAGATCCGGTTCTTGGGGCGAAGAAGAGATCGGATTTGCTAAGAACGTAGACGATTTCGACAGTGGTATTTCATCTGAATCCGATTCCAATGACGAGAACGGTACAGTTTACTTCCTGAGCAAGGCAGGGAATGTTATGGCCACCAATCTTCAGCGAAACCCTTCGAAGCAATACTCGTCAGTTATAACCCTAAGAGACGGAGAAGAGATCGTGTATTTCTTCAGCCCTTCGGGAAGTATCGTTTCCTGCAACATCACGAAGAGATCCTTCACCGAGCTCCCGAGGCTTCTGCCGCCATTGATGGAGTACTCCATAGACATGGTGGAGTGTAATGGAAATATGTTTGTGATTCTTCTGTCCGAATTCTTCGAAAGCTCGAGCTTGAGGGTTTGGAGACTCGACGAGAAGAACAAGAACTGGGTTCAAGTTGCGATGATGCCTCCCGCAATGTCGCATGAGTTATTCGGGAAAAAGGGCGACATAAACTGTGTCGGAACACGTGGTAGGATGCTCGTTTGCTTCAATTCACCCGAGATGTTTCGATATTTCACATATGATTTGGTCGCGGACGAGTGGAGTGAGCTTCCCAGATGCTTCAAGAAGGATAACGAAGCTGCAGATTTCGTTTCGGCTCTCGCGTTTGAGCCCAGAATCGAGGTTTCGGTATGAGTTCAGATCAATTCCGGTTTGTTTCTATAGGTGTTTGATGTTAGGACAAGTTGTTTTTGGTGGGTTTAGGGTTTGTTCAAGGCTGCTGTGTGTATTCTTTTGATGACCAGTTTGTAACATTGGATCTGTCTCACATTTTTATGTATTAACAGTGATTGTTCTTTAAACCCATTTGATCTTAAGCCAAGATTATCGAGGAGAAAACGGATGAATTTAGATCGAATTTACTATAAAAAACAGAGCATGTTTGATCTGATTATGTTAATGGCAAGAGAGTTGCAGAGTTTATTTTTGTCTGAATCAGACATGAGCTCAAAGCTTTTCAAAACAGAGCTCTTTATTAATGAGGATTTAGTTGCAAAACGAATCAAGCACATAGTATTTGTAACAAAAAAAAATTATTATTTTGCCGTAAAAATGTTAAATCAAACAACTTTCAATTTATGAAAATAAAAATCTAATGACTCATCGATCAAAATAGACAGGAGACCTAAGAAAAGGAATCAATTTGAAATCAAGAGCAAAGCATAAATTCAAAACATCTCAAGAGCAACAATATATAATACATTAAAAAATACCTTAAATTTCAAATTAATATGTCTGAATATAAATTTTAATAAAAATGAAAATACCACCATTAGGGTTAGGACCGCGTACTTGAGAATCGCATTTTCGGGTACACGGTTTCGCAGTTACTCGAGCTACGAATACTCGTTCACCAACGAAACCAAAAGCGGCTGCGATGAAAGCTAAGAATTTGGACCGCGGGTTTGCGTTCAGACAACGGATTACCTCCAAATATCCGGATGTAAACAAAATGATGTTTATGTTTTAATATATTTATAATAATAAATTAATATATTTTCATATAAAATTATCAAACTTTTTTCAAAATTTTGATGGGTTCGGGTAGCTCGGATGTCCGAGTTCTACGACGGGTTCTCAGATCACGGGTATTCCGACGAGGTAATACTTTCCTGATCGTAATGATCGGTAAAGGTAAGCAGGCAGGCAGGGCCAATGTCCAAAAATGGAATCTTATGTGAAAAAAGGACAACGCTTTGAACAGACATTCGTTCATATCTTACTCTGTTTCATCCTCTTCTGATCGTTTTGTCGAAATGCAAAACTGTATTTCCAAGCCATGAAACCAGACTCTTCTTCTACCTCGTTTGCTCCGTCAAGGCAGGTCTCAGTCTCACCCGAGAACGCGGGTTTTTGGTTACCAGTAATCGCCACAAGAGCAAACCCCGCCTTTGAACCTGTGAAATCGGTTTGCATCTCTCAGTACTATCTCTCTTCTATATACCTTCGATATGTACTTCATCGCGTTGTGGCAGTCTCCGCAAACCCGGAGGTTCTTTATGACACGAAGAGGCATTGACTGAGGCGTGTTTATTAGCCCGAACGCCACCGCCAGCTTCTCACTGTGGTAATACAGGGACCTCTCTTTCTCCTCTTCTTCCACATCTGCAAGTGCGTATTCCATCTCGGGAATGTACCCTTCTTCTTTGATCTCTCTGATCATCTCTTTCACTTTCTCGTATATCAACTCCGATTGCGGGTTCGACCTATCGTCCACAACAAACAGATACATCTCGTTCTTCAAGACGATCCAGCTGAATCCCGGGTCCTTCTTCACTCTCTGTCCCTTCATCATCGTCCGGGCTTGCTTCATCTCGTCCCATTTCGCTGCAGCTGCATATATGTTGGATAAAAGCACGTAAGCTGATGAATCCGACGGCTCTAGCTCCAGAATCTTAGCTGCCACTCTTCTTCCGGTTTCTGTGTCCCCTTTGACCCGACAAGCTGCAAGCAGAGCTCTGTACATGGAGACCGAAGCTTCAAAGCCCATCGACTCGATTACCTTTACAGCCTCTTGAACGAGGCCTGCTCGGCCAAGCGCATCAACCAAACATGAGTAATGTTCGATTTCGGGTTTGATCCCATAATCTCGCTGCATTGAGCGGAAATACCCGTAAGCTTCGGATACCATGCCCGAATGGCTGCAAGCGGATAAGACACCAATGAATGTGACCTTATCGGGTTTGATTCCCGTAGATTTCATCAATTTGAAAAGCTCGAGTGCTTCTTTCCCTTCTCCATGTTGAGCTAATCCTACCAGCATTGCGTTCCACGCAGTAATGTTCCTCGCCTCTGTCCGTCTAAACAAGGAATATGCGTCGTCTATGCTTCCGCACTTAGCATACATGTCAACAAGTGAAGTCGCAACAAACGGGTCGATGGCACAATTCATTTTGACAGCGTTAGCATGAATTTGACGCCCCTGTTCTAAGGCCGTCAAGCAAGAGCTTGCTTTCAACAGAGTGGCTATGGTAAACTCATCAGGCAAAATTCCTGAGCGTTTCATCTGGGTGTAAACAGAAAAGGCACGCTCTTCTTCTCCGTTCTCTATACATCCTGACATCATAGTCGTCCATGCTACATCATCGGGCATAGGAATACCATTGAAAACCGAGTGAGCAGCCACTATATCACCGCATTTTACATACATATCAAGAATCCCACTGCTTACCCAAAGATCGGAATCAAATCCAGATTTTATTGCGTAAGCATGGATTTGCTTTCCATGTTCCATCGCGAACAATGAACCACATGCCTTGACTACTGTTGCCAATGTGATCTCGTCCGGTCTCTCCCCACGTTTATGCATCAATGAAACGAGCTTCAAAGTCTTATCGACATCTTCACTTTGGGTATAACTAAACATCATAGCATTCCAAGTTGCTAAGTCGAAGCCACCCTTTTTCCCAAACAAAATCTCTGCCTCAGCCATACACCCGTTCCTAGAATACGCATCGATAAGAGCAGTAGAGACGTAATTGTCAGATACATTATTAGACTTAACTGCGTGAACATGAACTTGTTTGTTTAAGGACAAGCTTCCTGGAAGAGACGAAGAGGCCTTTAGGACACTCGTCAGAGTGAACTGGTCCGGTGCAAGACCAGACCGTAGCAAATGCATGAATTCACTCACTGCTTCCCTTTCCATACCATTTTGAGAACAACCGGCAATAATCGAATTCCATGAGATCAAATCTCGTTCACTCATACCGTGAAACACTGTTCTAGCAGAACTGATTTGTCTCAGTTTAGAGTACATGTTTATTAGACTATTCGCAACAGGAAGCATGGAATCCAGTCCCAACTTCAATGACATACCATGAACCTGTCTCCCCAATGCTAAGTTACCTAATCCTACAGTTGCAGACAGAACTAAGATAAACGTCACATTATCGCATCCTAAGTTGGACTCAACCATGTTCGAGAAACATCGGAGAACAGCTGAATAATCCCCTGCACGGAGATACTCAGACAATCTTTTGTTCTTCGATATTACATCAGAAATGTTAACACCCCCACCACTGTTACCATCATCTGAAAACAATCTTGAGCAATCTCTGGCTTGGCCCAAATGCTTCCTGCATCTATCAGAATTATCATCGGAAAGGGTGGCGAGCAAACGTGAGGTGGCTTCATTCGGACGTAAACCACTTCTACGAAACTCAGAAACGAGAAGTTGTGCTTCTTCGTCAAGACCCAAATCAAGATACGCCTTCACCATCAAATTCCATGACACTAAATCTTTCGAGGGCATTTCCTCGAACAAAACCTTACCTTCCTTGATCCGACCAAACTTCAGATAAGTGTTAAGGAGAGCTCCTGAAACAAACTCATCCAACTCCAAACCAATCTTCAAAGCATACCCATGAACAGCCTCCGAAGCCCACAAATACCCAGAATTCAAACACAGCTTCAACATCGGAGCCAGAGTCATTCGACTAGTAAAAACAACATATTGCCGTAAGCCCCGAAAAATTCGAAAACCCTCGTTCACATTCTCGATACAGCCTTCGCTACACTGAGCATATGCAGCAAGAATCGAGTTCCACGAAACAAGGTCTCGCTCAGGCATTTTATCGAACAGTCGACGCGCGTAAAACAGTGACCCACACTTGGAGTACATCGAAATGAGATTGTTGATCAGGAAGCGTTCTGGGTTTTCCTCGAAGGCTAGAATGCGCGCGTGGGTGCATTTCCCGAGGGCCAAATCGGCGGTGGAGATTGCAGAACGAAGAAGAAAGAACCATTGAGACGAAGAAGAAGACGAAGACGAAGACGAAGAAGGATAAGAAGAGAATGAAGGCGATGAAGGAGGAGGCGACGGAGCAAGCGAGGCGGAGGAAAGAGACCAAAGAGAGAGCGATTTCCGGGATTTGCTCAAGGAACAGAGGTTGGTTTTCAGGTTTGCTTGCATGGTGGGCTAAAGGTGATTCTTTTAAAAGTGTAGGGGGGGTAATATTGGAAATCATGAAAACTTACGGGTTGTAAACTAGAAACCATCATTGGCAATTTCATCCCGTTTTAAGATTTACTTTATAAACAGGCTCTTGGGCTCTGAGGTAACCTAGCAATGTTTTTAAAGTGGAACCGGGCCTTTGAGACTTACTATTCCATGTGTATACTGTATAAACTCCAGTCAAACAGATGGCTAAACGAAAAGGCAATGAAATATTAGGAATTGGGGCAAAGGCAAACTAACATGAGAAGCGCAGCTGAAAAAACGAATCCCATTCATCGACAGACCAGAGAGGGGAGCTCCACCGTCCGCCGCAATGGCAAACCAAGAATCGGATCAACGACGCAGACTCAGAAGGGCACATGAAAATTGGGGCTTTTCGCCGTCTTAAAAGAGGAAAATCGCGGAACCGTGTGTGGTTTCGCCTTTCTCATTTCTTCTTCACGTTTCAATTCTTCCATGAAAAACCAAGCAATCAGATTTGAACTATACTATCACAAACCCCGTGGACTACAAGGTTCAAAAGCCTTGCAGAGGAATAAGTGGGGTCCACCGCCTGCTTCGATCGAATCTATCGTTGACACGTGTATCTGTGGCGACCGATTTATTTTATTTCGGTTCTTACGTAATTTTCTTTCCAAATAATCTGCAAAAGTCTTGGAATTCCAAATAACCGGACCAAAACCGGCAATTTTACCAGACAAAAAAATCCCACGAACCAAATAGAGTAACATATCTATATCTATATCTAAAAATGACTGGACGTATTCTTTTTTTGTTAAATTATTACAATTATTCGGAATAATTTAAACGGATTATAGAGTTAAAAATCAAATTAAGTATAATTCTTCTGAGAGTCAAACGACACACATTCACCACGCCATCATTTTTCTAAATGGTCCGTTTAAACCAAAACCATGCCATCGAGATTATTGTACATCAAAGTCAAATATTGAAATCCCGAATTCGAAAATCAAATTAATATTTCAATCATGTATTAGTTTACTCAAAATGTTAGCAATTTTAATTTTAATACCAGATTCATTTTTAGTAGTTTACTCAAATGTGACGTCACCTGTAATGATCCCACAGATAACATACACACACATACATCATATATATATATATATAAGAGGTTTATGGTCTAATAAATTAATTTATAATACTGATCATGGTACCTTTTGATTCGAGATCTAGTTATCATTGTTTGTGGATTAATATTAGATCCATGCACTACAATTCCGAGAAATAATACATACATATGTATTCATATATATATATATATATAGTTGCGTGTGGGGTTAAATTAACAAAAAAATATGATTAATAGACGATACAAAACGTCGGCCCACTAATAAAGGAACCAATAAAATCAAAACAACCCATCCATTTTCCAACAACTCCCAACCACACACTCCTCTCTGGGATTCTGAGTTCTTCCTCTAATTAATGGTGGATTTTATCCATAACCGCATTTACTGTTGGGGTGAAACCTGTACAGTGTACACCACTAACATTACAAAAGTTATGCCAACAAATATTTTAAATCTTTTTATTATTACTTTACCCACCCAAAATTATGATTACTCCCTTTTATGTTTTACTCTATATATTTTTATAATACGTATTAATTTATTCAAATTAATTGGATTGTAAATACTATATTTATCCTCAATATTCTGATAGAAATGTTGTAATAAACTTACAATTAAGCTCCGGATTTGTAATGTATCTTTGATAAAAGCACAACAATTTATGTCGTCCATGAATTTTTTGCTTTTTTTAATGCAACCCACATATAGCTGGATCTTATAAATAATATATACATAATTTAATAAATACGTATTATGAAATAATATAAGAAACCCTTCATGTCTCCACACTCAATGTCATTGAAATCAAACCCAACTCTCTCTCTCTCTCTCTGCGTACTGACAGCAACTACGACAACGAAGAGAATATGTTGCCGCCGTACCTCAGCCCGACACGCTTCCTAGAAGTCTATCTCCGCCGCAGCCTCACGGCGGCGGGGCTCACGCAGCGGACGGTGGCCATCGGAGAAACCACCGTTCACTTGTGGGGCCCACCGCCGGAGAGTCGATCGGATAAGGAGAAACCGGCGTTGCTTCTCCTCCACGGCTTCGGCCCCTCCGCCGTGTGGCAGTGGCGGAGACAGGTCCAGGCCTTCTCCTCTTCCTTCCGCCTCTACCTCCCCGATCTCGTCTTCTTCGGCCTCTCCTCCTCTTCCTCCCACCAACGCTCCGAGATTTTCCAGGTTCCTATATATAATCTGTGTATATATGTATATACATATACCATGTGTGTATATGTGTCAGTTTTTTATTTTCTTTTTTTTTTCTGTCATATGCGGAGGATAGTAAAACTTTACATTTTGGCTACTGAAGAGCGTTTATACTTCGAAGTTAGAACTCATCCCTTACTTTTTTTTTATATCTCCGTTATTTCAATTAACAACATGAATATTTTATATAAAATATTCTAATATCTATATTTTCTTATATTACAAATCTATATTTTGAATATAATTATTTAGATTTTTTCTTTATATCTTTATATATTTTTTTATAAAGTTGATCTTAACAATTCACTTTAAATTTAGTTAATTATATTTATCATCCAAATTTAAATTTGAAATAAAATTAATTTGATCCATCTTTAGTACAATATCTGTTTGAAACTCAACATAGCATATATGTGTTAGTGTTTTCTTTACTTTTATTTTTCTGTCTTCTTAGAATCGCTATCTCTCCTGGGCATATATCTTACGGACTCCAATGGAGAATCTTCTTCTCTCGCCATTTGATCAATGTGTTGTTCAAGATCTGTGAAGGACATGTAATGAACAATCGAATTAGAGAAAATTTGGAATCTGCTAACACCTCATATTTGTTGCTTCCACAAATTTCTCTCTCATTCTCAATAATGAAAACATTTTATTATACATTAACACTCATACAAACTACTTGATTTCATCCGAAACCGAATAAGATTGTAGAAGTTAAGTTTGGAATAATTTTCGACAAACCTTGCACTTGTTTTTATAGAACAAACTTAGAAACCAACACTTAACAGTTACAAATTTAAAATTAAAAACCTGCAACATTAAGAATTGACTTCAACTTCTCTTTTGAGTTTTGAGGTATAATGCAACACTCACCCTTAACTCAAAAACTCATAACGCTACAATCTTTAACTTTCGATTACAAATTTTCTATCTTCATAACAACCACTTTTCTCGAATGCAAAACTGCCTTATCTCGAGTTCTCAATTAAGTTTTTTGAGTACACATTTACCCCTTCTTGAGTCCGCAACCATTTTCGAGCTCACCTATTTAAGGCATAAATTTGTACCAAACTTAAAACATTTGCCCCTTTGTAACATTTTTTCATCTTTATACTCTGTATATATCTTTTCTATATTATGTATACTTAATGAAATTGACATTCATCTATTCATCTATATATATCTATGTATTCTTTGATTTGGGTTACATGAACATGAATGTCAATTTTTTAGTGACAAAAAAAGTGTTTAAAACTCATCAAAATCTGAGTTTATGATACCAACGACTGAAGATGTTTCTTTTCTTATAATACAAATATAAAATAGAAAAAAATACAAACATATATATACATACATACGTACATACACAAATATAAACACTTGTATACATATGTTTGCATATTTTTTATTAAACGTGTCATATATTTTTTTAAAACCTATTTTTTTTCATGAGAAAAAATTAGTGATAGTTTAATAATATATAGATACATACATGCACAAATTAAAAATCAAATATAAAATATAAATGATAAAAACACATACACATATGTATACATACATACATACATATATACACATATATCCATACGTACACACAAATTAACAATCGAATATAAAATATAAATTATATAAAAAATACACACATACATATATACATACATACATGTGTATATGTATCAATATGGGGTCCGATGGCTAAAAAAACTTGGTCACTTCTGCGGATGTTTCAATTGACGGATGTTTTCAACACAAAAATATTATTTTGTATATAAAAATATTTAAAGATATTAAATAACTAAAATATATAGTATATAGATTTGACTATATGCTGTTCACATTTCAAAAACCTTAGGCAACAAACCATTTTGAAAAATTACAACGTTCATGTTTAAACATATATAAATGTAACCATTACACACCCAAATTTCATAATAAAAAAAAAACCATTACATAAGCATATACATACATGTGCAGAAATATTGAAGATAAAACTTCACACGCCCACTCGCTTCCAAAGTCCACGAACTAATATCTTTGTGGAGCAACAACAATGAAGAAAGAGACGAGGCACAGAAACCAATCTCACCGAAATTTTTCAATGCGTTCGAACTTATATCATTCGATATAGTGGGCAAATACATTTACTCTAATAATAAATATGGTGTAGTGGGTTAATCAATAATATGCGTTTTTTCATATTATTAGTGGGCATTAAATATTTTTCACCAAAAAAAATATAAACATCCACTCCTGTTATTATTTATCTCATATTTTATTACAGCTATTATTGCTTATTTGTATAGTAGACGTTTTTTCCACACTCATTAATCATATTTATGTAAATAAAATTTTAAATAATAAATAATAAATAAAAATAAATGACACCTAGATGATGAGGTGGAGGATGAGGTGGTTTCACCACAACTCTTTAAACTCCTTTATTAATATATATAGATTTGTGCTAAGTCAACGTACATTTACCTACTAATGATGACAATTTATAAGTGCTGTCATAAATTTAATTATGAAAATTTTCTGTCACATTTAATGAACAATTTTTAATCCATAGCTCGGATTCTCGGTCTATTTTGTTAAAAGAAATGTGGAGAAAAGTTTTGGAATGTTTTCGACCTAGAACAAAAATCTTAATTTGGATTACAAATTCAAAATATGGAATTTTGTGTATATAATCAACATAGTTTCATTCCATCACACTCCTAATTTACATCGAACCGAATTCCAAGAGTCAAACCAATACATATCAATGCCTCATGTTTTTAGTAATTAGGAGTCAAAAACCACATAACTTCAACTATCTGCAAACACAGAAAAATACTTTTATTAAGAATCTCATACCAGTGAAGCCCGACCAGTGACCTGGCCATAAAAAGATCTTATCCATAACTCGGTCAGTGAAACCCGATTTTTTATGCAACACAACACCAAATCGAATAACTTTTCAAATTTGAGAATTGTAGAATTGTAATCGCTACCATAAGAATCACTCTTAAGAAGTAAAATGTTTCTATTAACTCAAAACTATAGCAGACAATCTTCTGAAACCCTATATTTATATGAATGAATGAACAATCGAATTAGAGAAAATTTGGAATCTGCTAACACCTCATATTTGTTGCTTCCACAAATTTCTCTCTCATTCTCAATAATGAAAACATTTTATTATACATTAACACTCATACAAACTACTTGATTTCATCCGAAACCGAATAAGATTGTAGAAGTTAAGTTTGGAATAATTTTCGACAAACCTTGCACTTGTTTTTATAGAACAAACTTAGAAACCAACACTTAACAGTTACAAATTTAAAATTAAAAACCTGCAACATTAAGAATTGACTTCAACTTCTCTTTTGAGTTTTGAGGTATAATGCAACACTCACCCTTAACTCAAAAACTCATAACGCTACAATCTTTAACTTTCGATTACAAATTTTCTATCTTCATAACAACCACTTTTCTCGAATGCAAAACTGCCTTATCTCGAGTTCTCAATTAAGTTTTTTGAGTACACATTTACCCCTTCTTGAGTCCGCAACCATTTTCGAGCTCACCTATTTAAGGCATAAATTTGTACCAAACTTAAAACATTTGCCCCTTTGTAACATTTTTTCATCTTTATACTCTGTATATATCTTTTCTATATTATGTATACTTAATGAAATTGACATTCATCTATTCATCTATATATATCTATGTATTCTTTGATTTGGGTTACATGAACATGAATGTCAATTTTTTAGTGACAAAAAAAGTGTTTAAAACTCATCAAAATCTGAGTTTATGATACCAACGACTGAAGATGTTTCTTTTCTTATAATACAAATATAAAATAGAAAAAAATACAAACATATATATACATACATACGTACATACACAAATATAAACACTTGTATACATATGTTTGCATATTTTTTATTAAACGTGTCATATATTTTTTTAAAACCTATTTTTTTTCATGAGAAAAAATTAGTGATAGTTTAATAATATATAGATACATACATGCACAAATTAAAAATCAAATATAAAATATAAATGATAAAAACACATACACATATGTATACATACATACATACATATATACACATATATCCATACGTACACACAAATTAACAATCGAATATAAAATATAAATTATATAAAAAATACACACATACATATATACATACATACATGTGTATATGTATCAATATGGGGTCCGATGGCTAAAAAAACTTGGTCACTTCTGCGGATGTTTCAATTGACGGATGTTTTCAACACAAAAATATTATTTTGTATATAAAAATATTTAAAGATATTAAATAACTAAAATATATAGTATATAGATTTGACTATATGCTGTTCACATTTCAAAAACCTTAGGCAACAAACCATTTTGAAAAATTACAACGTTCATGTTTAAACATATATAAATGTAACCATTACACACCCAAATTTCATAATAAAAAAAAAACCATTACATAAGCATATACATACATGTGCAGAAATATTGAAGATAAAACTTCACACGCCCACTCGCTTCCAAAGTCCACGAACTAATATCTTTGTGGAGCAACAACAATGAAGAAAGAGACGAGGCACAGAAACCAATCTCACCGAAATTTTTCAATGCGTTCGAACTTATATCATTCGATATAGTGGGCAAATACATTTACTCTAATAATAAATATGGTGTAGTGGGTTAATCAATAATATGCGTTTTTTCATATTATTAGTGGGCATTAAATATTTTTCACCAAAAAAAATATAAACATCCACTCCTGTTATTATTTATCTCATATTTTATTACAGCTATTATTGCTTATTTGTATAGTAGACGTTTTTTCCACACTCATTAATCATATTTATGTAAATAAAATTTTAAATAATAAATAATAAATAAAAATAAATGACACCTAGATGATGAGGTGGAGGATGAGGTGGTTTCACCACAACTCTTTAAACTCCTTTATTAATATATATAGATTTGTGCTAAGTCAACGTACATTTACCTACTAATGATGACAATTTATAAGTGCTGTCATAAATTTAATTATGAAAATTTTCTGTCACATTTAATGAACAATTTTTAATCCATAGCTCGGATTCTCGGTCTATTTTGTTAAAAGAAATGTGGAGAAAAGTTTTGGAATGTTTTCGACCTAGAACAAAAATCTTAATTTGGATTACAAATTCAAAATATGGAATTTTGATTTGAAAATTGATATTTCGTAACTGGTAGGGGCAGGTTAGGGTTAGCATCTCGCTCGGGTATATAATATAGATCAATCCAGATCGCGTTAAATAAAATATAATAGTATTTGAAATAAATAATATAAAAATTAATTGGATATAATTTAAAAAAGAATAACGTGGAAAATAAAATATAAACGAATAGTACTATATTACATATCTTGTCTTACATATAATTTGTAAATCATTTTTGGCAATACAGCTAACCTATGGTACTATTTTCCATGACATATATAATCTCGTACGTATAGATACAATAAAAGAATGTTAATTAATGCATACATAGAATTTTAAAAACAAATAAATGAAATCGAGATTTGGATGTCAGGCGGAGTGCATGGCGAAGGTGATGGAGAAAGAAGGGGTGGAGAAATTCCACGTAGTGGGGACGAGCTACGGTGGGATCGTGGCGTACCACATGGCGAGGCTGTATCCGGACAAAGTGGATAAGGTCGTGATCGCCAGCTCCGGCATCAACATGCGGCGGAGCGATAACTCCGATCTCTTGAAAAGGGCCAGCTGCCGCCGCATCGAGGAGCTCATGCTGCCGTCCTCCGCCGCCGATCTCCGCCGGCTCCTCGCCTTGGCCTCGTCCTCCCAATCCCTCCATATGTTACCCGATTTCATATGGAACGATTTCATCGATGTGAGTTAATTATTAACCCACATTCTTTCTTTTTTTTACATTTTGAGCACACCGGCACTGATTTAAGAAAAAATATATATTATTGGATAAAAAATTGAAAATATTGATTTGGAAATAATATTAGATCAATCATATAATTTCTATGATTCTCTTGACGTATATAAGTCAAAATTATGATATATCAGTATGAATAATTTTTGTTGGTCATTTAATTTAACTTGGTGGAATTCTACGATTACAAAGATTTAATTAATTTAATATTTTTTTGTATAATTAGAAATTGTATCGAGAGAATAGAGAGAAGAAAGTAGAACTATTGGAGAATTTAACTCTGGGCAAAGATGAGAAATCGAATGTGGCTTCTCTTTCTCAGGTACGCTCTTTTAGGTTTCTGCCAGTTTTTAAGTTCTTTAATTATAATTTTTTATTTTTATGTTTATTTTTTTGGTATTAAATTCATATAAGTAACATAATTATTATCAATTGTTATTTTATAGATACGCTTACAATCAGCACTTACTTATTAGCGATAATGATAAATATTTAGGCTCGAATAATATAATCATATCACATTAAATTGATAAAAAAAAAGCCAATCGCTTATAATTTTTAAAAATCAAATTAATTAAATTCGAAAGAAAATTTCAACTGAATATAAAAATAATTTAAAATGAAAATATTTTTAAAAAATAAATATTATTTTATAAATCCCTAGTGCTAACTGAAAAAATATGAAAACTTCGAAATTGGATTTCAATTTCGTCTCATATGCTATTAGTTTTTTAATGTTTGGAATACTGATAATTTCATAAATGACTCTTTTGGAAAAATTATCTTATTATATTTCACTTCTATTTTCCCCCCTTAACTTATTTCTCGGATTAATATTTGGAATTAAACGATGATCTCGTTTTAAAATCTAAGTATATATGGATTAATTCGCAGGAGGTTTTAGTAATTTGGGGAGATCAAGATCAGATATTTCCTGTAAAGATGGCTTACGAGCTCAAAGAGTAAGTATAATTTTTTGGCATATTTTATTTTATTTTGTTCTTACCATAAATAATACTTTGTTTATAAATTATAAAGCATAAAAAAATTTGATGTTTTTAGCCTTAAGGATTTATTCGTGAAGGCATAAAACCCAAAAGGCAATTTTTAATACACTAAATTCAAGAAAAGAACAATATATTTTGTCCTCTACGTGTTAATAGTTTATACAAGTTCTTTTTTAGTAGATGATGGGGGATATATACATTTAATATAACCATTATTTTCTATTATATATTAAATACCTATTTTGTCTTGTTATATATCAACTTTGTTTATAAAACACGTTTTAAAATTCTAATTTTTTGTCACCATTTTTTTTTTTTGAGAATTAGTGACGCCACATACCAAAATATGTTTTACAAATTTTATATATTTTAATTTGTTATTTTATATTATCTTCGATACCATATCATTTTGGACATAAAAATATCATATTATTTTAAACATAAAACTAGAATATTAGAATATTTTATAAATATTAAGATAAAAAAATAGATATTAAATATATTATGAAAATATTTAAATATGAATATCATTATGTTGAATGAATGAGTTTTTATTTTGAGATTTTGGATTTTTAATGGTTTTAGTTTTTGATGTTTTTGGTTTTTGTATTTTTTAGATTTGTAAATCTAAAAAAATTTTGAATGTCAGTTTTTTCAATTTTTAGAATCTAAAAACTCCGAAAACTCTTTCCATTCAACATCTAGATCTAAATGGTACATTCTTCTTTAATTTATAATCTTTAATATAATTATTATTTACTTGCTTTTCTTCACTTTTAAATTCATAAACAAGTTATGCAGATATTGATTCTCGTAGAATTTATTTATTTTTACTCGGCATGTGATTTTTATTTGAAGAATTAACACAATATTAGGGTCGAATTCTAAATTTTGGAATATAATTTTCAATATAAAAATAAATGGGTTTGTGTGACTATGTTTTGTAGGATTCTTGGACCGAAGACGAGGTTAGAAATTATTAAAGATACATCGCATATCCCCCAACTGGAACGATCACAGGAGTTCAACGACGCCGTTTTGGAATTCCTAAATTCAATGGAGTGATCTTATCCTTATGCATTGATTTGGTCATGAAACTTAAAGCATGTATTATTATTAAATTATGATTCCAATTTTGTTAATAGGGTCTTGCGAGAATCAATATGTTGTGGAGACACCTCCCAAAACAAGTATTTATTTCCTTAATTCAAAATTAAACCACTAGGTACCTATGGACACTTTTTCACATATTGTGCCATAATTGACATTAATATATTTCATATTTGTTCTAATTAACTAATTTTATTGTGCGAAATAACACCTTCAATTTTAAAAATAAAATCTGAATGAATATGAATGAACCCTAACCTAATGTTAACATTTTTTGTTATAACCTAATTTGTTTTTTCAATTTATTCAGAAAATTTATTGTTATGACATATTTATCTGCAAATTTATACAAAATCTTGGTTAATGTCTTGTCTTTCTATCGGTATAACCATAGAGGGCTGAGAGTGAAGGTTTTTCATTCTCGTTTTTGTAGGGGCATTCTTTGATATGTACATAGGAGATTTTCCTGTGTCCGAGCAGACAAAAGAGGATATCGGTAGAAACGTTGCGGGAATAATACGAAGATGCTGAAACAAATGGATAACATTTTCGGCATCCATTGGCCTCGGGTTTTCCTTTTTTTTTTGGAGCAGAAGGAGATCGGAGGAACGGTGTCTGGAAAGGGATGATGTGAAACAGGCGGTTCTCAAGAAGGGAGGGACTTATGTTGTCTGAATATACGAATGCCAATAAATTGACCTTAGGCCCTAAAAAAAATATTTATTTCTAAATAACGATTTATTTTAATTTAACTCTTATAGTTTTAAAAAAAAAACAGAGACAAGAGAAATAACTATTAATGGGCTTAGATTTTAGGCCCATTAATCTGTTTAATTTATACGATGACAAAGCAACAGGCCCACCCGGTTTTCTTTTAACGCTCTTTTTTTTTTCCACAACAATGAACGGTTTTTATTTGAAAAAAAAAACTATAAAATACACATAAATATTTATGGCGTATGACTTGATAAATTTTTTTATATGATGCATCCAATCCATTTTCATAGAATCTAAACAAGAATCTAAATATTGACGAGTTTTAAATTAAATTAAAAATCGTAAATATAAATTAAATTAAATGTATTGAGGTCAAATATATGGGTAGCGCGGTACCCGTTTCTGTATATTAAAAATCCAATCCCGTTTTAAAACCGGTCTCATTATTTGGATATCCAATTCCCGATTTTCAAATACCCCATTAACCGAGTTTTTGGCGAATATCCTAAAATCAATATGGATTTGAACAAAAACATACATAAAATGTACAATGAGCTATTAGCATATCAATTGAAATATTTATGTTATTAATTCACGAATTGTACAGTAGTTTGTCAATAAAGTTACATGAAGAAGTAACAATTAGTAATATAATAATGGAAGATATAAACTTTATAACAACATGATTTTATAACTTTGATTTATTCTTTTCTTTTACTTTTTTTGGTATAATTTTCTTTTACTTATTGTTTACGCTTTAGCATTTTCATTTTTTTCTTTATTATTTTCTTCCTTTTTTCATTCTATTTTTTTTTTGCTATTTATTGCTACAAAACCATATCATTTCATTTGTTTTACGTTTTTGTTTTCGATTTCCTTATATTTATTGTTTTTATTACCTTTCGTTATTATTTCGAATTTTGTTGTGTTTCTCTTTCTTTTTTTTAAGGGTATACGTGACATCACAAAATACCGATTGTTTTATTAAATTTCCATTAATTTTTAAATGAATTTTTATATAAAAAGCAATTATATTTTTTTGCTAGAGTACTAGGGAAATCCAGATTTGAGGAACTCGTTCTAAATTCAAGGTCAAGAGAAGACATCCAAATGACAGATGATGATACTTTTGGTTTAGGAGTTTTTAAAAATTTAATATCTCTATAAATTAACCATTTTTTTTCTTATTTTCTAGAGCCCAGGAAACAAATTTTCTATAAACTGCTAATTCTATGAAAAGAAGCCAAAATATTTTAAGCATGGTTTTTATGTTAGAAGCCGAAATGCAAAAATCCAAAAACCAGAAAGCTATAAACCAAAAATCCAAAAGCACGAAACCCAAAAAAAATCTCTGCGGTCAAAAACTAAATAAAATTCTAATAGAATTGAGGGTCCTTTTCCAAATCATTAATTACGTTTTTGTCGTATTATCTATCTGTATTCTGTAATGTATATATACATAATGAAATAATAATTTAATAAGATGCATCACCAATATATAGAACGAATCAGTAATTAATTTTTAACCATCGTCTTTATTAATGTGTTTTTGACCAAAGCAAGAACCAATCTCTCTCTCTCTCTCTTCCCCCTCTTTCGGCGCTGCTTCTTCCTCCCTTTGCTTAAATTCTAAAATTTCTTTCTTTTGACCTTTACAAATTATAAACCACAAATTTTCTTCCTTTTTCTTTCCATTTATTTCATCGCCATTGCACACACACACATATATATATATATATAGAGATATATATGTAAGGGAGTGGGTATGAGTGTATACATCCAAGCCAACATCAAAAGCTGAAAAAAGGGTAATAATAATAAAAATAGAAGAAGCAGAGCACTTCTGCTCCTCTCTGCCCTCTTCTGAGAAGTGTTGTGTACTTGTGAGGAACTCCTTCAAAGCCATCAGCTACTCCTTTTGACTCCATTGCTTACCCCCTGGTTTTGTTTTCTTCCTCCTCATCATCAGGTCAGTTCCCTCGTCTTTCTTTCTTTTTTTCCTTTCGATTTCGCAAGTTTTTTTTTTGTTTCTGGGTTTCGTCAAAGCTCCTTTCTTTTTCCCGTGGATCTTGTCTCTGTTTCTCTCTATGTTGTTGATTCTGAGTTTTGGGTTTTGATTGGGTAGGTGATGGAGCTTATTTGCTGATTAGGGTTTCGTAGATCGGGCTGTCGTTGGGTTTCAAGTGGGTGTCTTTTTTTTTTGTGTGTTTTTATCAATTTTTTTTTGTTGGGTCTGGTTCGTCATGCCATTGGAGAGAGTTTTCACCTTTTTCTGTTGTGGGTATTGTGAATATTGAGTGACAATTTTGAGGTAACATTGAAAGTCTTTTCCTTCTCGGAAATCTGACTCTGAGAATCGATGAGTTAACCAAAAAAAAGTTCCCAAGTGCTTCACTTCACAATTCGTCCTGAAAAAATTGTCTCAGATCGTTGGATTTTGAAGTGGAAATGATAATTCTGGTGTTTCTTACAACTGGGCATTTTTTCTTGGATTCCTACGTGTTCTTAAATCCTTTCTCAATCCAAATGAAACTGCATTCTGGTTTTTTATTAGCTGAAAGTGGAAGCTTGTGTGAGTTGCTTGGTCGATTCATGTGTAATGCAGCCTTTGATTTTCTTGATACTGTTTGTTCCTACACGATGGTATGTTTCAGAACATCATTCTTGTTTCTCGGATGTTCTGATTCAGTGCCGGCGTTTATGGTGATATGACGTCTGTAGGCATAGCTTGTTACTTGCTCTTAGATTCTTGCATTGCTAGAATCTGTTTTCTTTCCTTCTGCAGTTTACTGGGTACAGTCTAACATTCACGGTTCTTGAAGTGATGGTTATGGTGTTTATATGTATGAATGTATTCTTTGACAAAGGAGGGGGGCTTTGATAGATTTCCTGGTTTTATATACGTAGGTCAAATCTGCCCAGTATCAGTGGAGGTCTAGCGGGAAGCTAAGGGCTCGTATCTTTTATCGAGTGGCTTGATATCTTTTGTATTCCATGCTATCGATCGGAATATAAATAATGGGCTTACTCTGCAGCAGAAGTCATCGCCAAACAGAAGATACCGATGAGAATGCACAGGTGAATCCGAAAGCTCTTCTTACCCGATCGATTTGCTTGTGATTTAGGTATTCTTAGTTTTATCTTATGTTATACATATTTACAGGCTGCTGAAATCGAAAGACGGATAGAGCAAGAAACTAAGGCCGAGAAGCATATCCGAAAGCTACTTCTACTTGGTATGTGGAACACCGAAACTTGAACCCTCGTTCTTGTCACATCAGTATCAATTCCTCGCAATAATCAGAATGAGCTTTTTCGTTATCTAGGTGCTGGAGAATCTGGAAAATCTACCATTTTCAAGCAGGCAAGAGTATAGACAGAAATATAATTACGGTATTTCCTTGGAAGTAATATTCGGACTAGTGCTTACTGACCGACGACATATATAAAAACAATACAGATAAAGCTTCTGTTTCAGACGGGATTTGATGAGACCGAGCTGAAGAGCTATGTTCCGGTCATCCATGCCAATGTCTATCAGACTATAAAAGTATGCAATACCTCAAAAGGGTGTGTTGGTTGTTTCACCCGTTTCTCGGATTATGTTAAACTTAGGTCGCATAAGAGGACGCTAAAATAAGATTCTTACGATCAAAATAGATTTTTATTATTGGTCTCATTCAAGATTATTTGATTTGCTATATGCTTGAACAGCTGTTGCATGATGCATCCAAGGAGTTTGCTCAAAACGAAGCAGATTCCGCTAAGTATACATTATCCTCCGAAAATACGGTGAGGTTTCGGGCATTTTCCAACCTTTTTTCGATATTTTAGCTTAATCACTTAGTTTTACTCTGTATTAGGAGATTGGCGAGAAACTCTCGGAAATTTGTGGCGGTTTAGACTATCCACGTCTCACGGAAGAGCTTGCCGAGGAAATAGAAACGCTGTGGAAAGATGCTGCAATACAGGTGAAATTCTTCTTTTCGTTATGGTTATAACCTCTGTATTTAACTAAACGACATGAATTGTTCGACTTTTCCATTTGTGCTGCTTTAGTTTGAATTTATCGGTTCGCTAATTTGTAGGAAACGTGCTCTCGCGGTAACGAACTTCAAGTTCCGGACTGCACTCAATACTTCATGGAGAATTTGAGACGACTGTCCGATGTGAATTATATTCCGACCAAGGTACCCATCTCAAAAATCCCGATCTCGGGACTCAACCTGTCATGGTTTCTCTCGGCACTGGCCCGAACTTTTAGGTTTACGTTATAATATTCTTCCATGGGCATGTTTTTTAGGAGGATGTTCTATACGCAAGAGTTCGTACAACTGGTGTTGTGGAAATACAGTTCAGGTGATGATTTCGATCTTTTGGCTGTTTAAACCGTAATTTCTCCACCGTTTCAGATAGGCAACAGTTTCTGAAACATCTGAGAAATGTGTCGTTTCGACTGGATTACAGTCATTGTGCTTTGTACAAGTTCTGATCGATGTGAATTCTGTGGTTTTTTCTCTAACGGAACTGTCATATTCGAGATCAAAGCTTCTTGGATTTGATCGTTGAATGTAAAAAGTTCAGTTTCTCGGTTAATGCAGCCCCGTGGGAGAGAACAAGAGAAGCGGCGAAGTATACAGATTATTTGACGTCGGGGGACAGAGAAACGAGAGAAGGAAATGGATCCATCTGTTCGAAGGCGTTACTGCTGTAATATTTTGCGCTGCCATTAGCGAGTAAGTAAAGCTCAAACTTCTTTTTCGGGATTTGCATTTCACGGAATCTCAAACCGAGATTTACCCGCTTCGTTTTAGGTATGATCAAACCCTATTCGAGGACGAGCATAGGAATAGGATGATGGAGACGAAGGAATTATTCGACTGGGTCCTGAAGCAGCCGTGTTTTGAGGTCGATAATTCCTCTTACCTTCCGATAGTTGGATTCGGGTTTGAAAGCGTCATGCTTACAAAATCTCGGTTATTTATTTTACGCAGAAAACATCATTCATGCTGTTTTTGAACAAGTTCGACATATTCGAGAAGAAAGTTCTCGAGGTATGAACGCAAATTCACGCACTCGTTTTCTCTCGACACGCAAGCGAGTGTTTTCGGTCATGACAACGGTTTTGTTTCGTTCTTGGATAGGTCCCGTTGAACGTGTGCGAATGGTTCAGAGATTACCATCCTGTCTCGACGGGGAAACAAGAGATCGAGCATGCATACGAGTAAGAGCTTTCCTCCAAACCCGACCCGTCGACCGTTTCTTGCTAAAGATTCAAACTTTCTATGCGTTTTAAATTAAAAAAACAGGTTCGTGAAGAAGAAGTTTGAGGAACTGTATTATCAGAACACGGCCCCGGACCGGGTGGATCGGGTGTTCAAGATCTACAGGACGACGGCTCTTGACCAGAAGCTCGTGAAGAAGACGTTCAAGCTCGTAGATGAGACCCTTCGACGCAGAAATCTTTTGGAGGCCGGATTGTTGTGACGGTAATGTGGTTTTTTTTTGTTCGGGTTTTCGAGTCGGGACGAAAGCTTCTGCAGACCCGAATTCGATGTCGTTTATTCGGGTTTTGCGTTTGTGTTGATGTCTATCCTCCATTGTTTGCCGTTACATTTTTCGTCGTCACTCTCATATTCAGTGTTATTCATCTCCTTTTGATATTTTCTCACGTCTCTTGATCAGTGTAAGTTTTGTCACGAAGACGGAGAAGAAAGGTTACTGATTTAGCTCTCATGAAGATGGGTTAGAACCGTCTTGCATTCCTAGTATTTCTTTCTACAAGGTAGGGGTGGGCGAAAAACCAAACAGTACCGAACCGAAAAAAAATCCGGTATTTTTATTGATCCGAACAGGTATTAGTTTGAACAAATTGAATTTCTCGGGATCGTACCGAACCGGATCAAAATTTTTAAAAAATTAAAAAAGGGTAATTTTTTAAGTTCTACTTTTCGTACCGAACAGTATCTATTATATTCTAAATAGCGAGAAACACATTTATTATTCAAATGCTCGAAATTTGAAACAGGTTCTGATCAATTTCCAGTTTTGGTTATAAAATCCTCTTTAAATTAAATTTAAAGATCTAGAGACAAAAATTAAAAATCTTGAAAATGCCACCAATAAATTCACCGACAAATTTTGGCATGTTTTATGAATATATGGGTCTAACTGAACATTTTCTAATTATGGGTTCAAAATACAAGATCCACAAAATATTAGGAATTCATGTAATTTCTGAAAGAGAGAAAGTGAAAAGACTTTTCTTTTGGTCGGCCGTATTTTTTCAGTGGGCGGCTATATTTTCCATCAAAGTAGAATAAAGGGTGATTTTGTTTTATGGACAAACCAAAACAAATCTTCAATTATTTCATTTATATTAAAAAAAAATCTAGTTTAAATTTACTAAAATAACTATGGACTATTAATTTTGAAAAATATGATCATAAATTTTATTTTAGTTTAAAAATATATATTCTTTTTTATAATTGATTTATATAAATTTATATATTTTATCATATTTAATTAACTAAATCTTTTATAATTTTTTAATTGAATCGAAGAGAAATAATCAGGAATACTACCAAATTTTTTATCAATAACTATCAATTCAATTAATCAAATATACTAACATTTTTATATTTTAAAAATGTATAATTATTTTAATTCTGTTTATCGCCATAAAAATAAATATTTATTAATCTATTAGAATGATAAATAGAATTTTACATTTTATTTGTATTCAATTTTTATTGCGATATATAGCATTAATATTATTTAGAGTTTCGAAATATAATTTTTTAAAAATTATTGATTTAATTGATAATTAAAATTAAGAATATTTTATAATATTTTTAATCTATTTGTGATTTTTCTGTTCAAAATTACCGATTTAAAATTTTATAAATAAATAAAATATTATATATTTGTTTGCTATATGAATTAAAGTTATTGTTTTTTGTTTCAATTTAGTTGTTGAAATTGTTTTTATAATAAATTTAAAATAGGAGAATCTTTTTATTAAGTGAAATTCTTCGGAGGTTTTTATTTGAGTTTTTTCTTTTAATTTGTCAATAAGAAAGAAGTCCTCCGAAGAAGAAGAACCTTGAATCCTCCGGCGAGCATTGTCGTTATTGTCGTTCCCAATTCTGAGTCGAAGCATATTCCTTTCTCTCTCTCTTTCGTCGAAGAAAACCCAATTTAAAGAACAGAAAAGGAAACCCAGAAGAATAATAAAGCGAAAGCAGAAAGGAAGAAGAAAGCGCGAAGCTTTTCGGTACGTTCTTCGTGTTTTGCCCTGAAATCCTTTTTTTTTCTTCTTCTCTCGAAATAAATTGTAGCCGGAACGGAATGATGCTTTCGGAGAATTTGATGGAAATGTAGTCTCTTTTCTTTAACGATTTTTCCTCGCGGAGAATAATGGATCGTGTCGGTTGCTTTTCCACGCTTGTATCGAGTTATAATCGCGATTTGATATGCGATCGATTCGAACAACACTACGATCACGGGGTTTGAGTTCGTTGATTTTCAGAATTTGGGGCTTTTTGTTGCTGTTTTGCTTTTGTTTGCTGGGTTTTGATTACTAAATGGTCGGGTAAATTTGGGTTCTTGAGCTATACTGTGTTCATTTGGCTCAACGTTTTCTTGAATCAATATAAGGATTTTGGATCAAACCCTTCTCGATTCTGAAAAAATGGGGCCATATAATTTTAGATTTTGAGCATTTTCACAGCACTAAGATTACTCCTTCTCTTGTTGATAACAGCCAAATTTCGGTTCGTTGGTTTCCAATTTTTCTTGCAGGACCTTGCCTTTGGGGACGACAAGTTGACAAAATCTTGTGACAGACTGAATTGTGGTTGCTGTTGTGATAACACTCTGAAAGTAGATGCGAAATAATTGGATGTTCTTCATGGGTCCTGATGGAGGTTCATCATACATTTTGCCTATGGACACCTTTTTACCACATGGGATTAGCAGTCAGTTGTTTTCTCATTTACACATCCCCGGAAGCTTAGCCTTGGAGGCTTTTAGCTGCGTCTCCAAGTTTGCGGGAGCTTTGCTTTGTTGGATTTCGCATGCAAATTTGAGAAGGGAAATAGCTAGCAGCCAATGGGACTCGGCAAGTAAGAGCTGTAATTCTTCTACACAGGCGAAGCGCTTCACGTTTAGACAGCCGGACTTTAATGGGTTTCACTTTAACATGGGATCAAAAGACATCCATGGTGTTTTTGGCAAGATCTCAAGGTCGAGTATTCAGCATCTTTTCAATGAATCTGAAAGGCTACATTCATTTTCCGTGCTCTCTTTAGCTGCTGCTTTGGTACCACCGTTTAATAACATGTAAGTTGGAGAATAGACCGGGATATGAACTTTTTTCACGGAATTTTTTCCCATTTCGGGTTCCTCATTTCAGAAACCCGCTCTGGGGATATCTTCTGACAGTACAACATTTTCAACTTTGGTGATTGTTAGGTCTTCCAATGTCCTTGCCCTGCCACTAGAGAATACCGATGTTCAAATTCACGAGAACATTGAACAAAGTCCTTGTCAAGTTGTTCGTGAAGACTATAACGGTTTGTCCTTTCACGACTTTGACAGGGCAAGACAAGCTGTGGAACCCCGAACAGGGATTGAATTCCCAATGCTGTTGGACAAAAATACCTATGGATTAACTTCTGAGGTAAGCAAGCACTAAGGAATCTGTCATCTATTATCAGCTAGAGGATGTTATATTATTACATCTTGTGTTAAGTGTATCAACAACTCCCATTAAGTTTTGTCCATTGTGTACTCTCTTTGTTTGGTATGAAAAAAAAAGTTAATGCATTCTCTCTCATTTAAGGTGCTTGTTGGAACTGGATCCCGGACCATGAAAATTATCAGAATTAAATCTCTAAAAGTATATGCATTCGGTTTTTGTAAGTGCTTTCTAGCTTTGGAGCTTCTTTATCTTGGTATCTTTGCAAGAATCATCCGTCTTCTTTTGGTCATAACTGTGATATCTTTGCTCTAGATATCCATCCTTCGTCGGTGTGCAAGAAGCTTGGCCCTAAATATGCCTCTTTTCCGCCATGCAAACTCGACAAATATGATGACTTTTACCGGGATCTTCTCAGGTAGTCACCCATCCGTGAAAATATTGCATAAGTTGATATCTATTTAAGCATTTGTGATTTTTCAGTAACGTGTGTGCTGGAAACTCTGTTTTGATCAAAGTAGCTTTAAGTTTCTATGCTGCACCTTTTTTACCGTCCCGGATTTGGACTCTTCTTTTTCTAAAATCTTTTGGTTTGAGAATGGCAGGGAGGATATCGGTATGAGTGTAAGGCTTGTGGTTAACTGCAATGGCTTGAAGATCAACACTGTTAGGGAGTAAGTCGAAATTCTATGTTCCTGGGTACTTGAATGTATTGTAGTTTTGACCTCATAATTCTACGATCAGGATGTTAACGATGTTAGTATATATTTCAGTGCTTTTGAGAAATCTCTCCGAGCTCGTCTGGTAAAGGTAACTGATACTTTGAGCCGTATATTATAGCCCGATGTCACTTTGTATACTGCATTTGGTTTATATTATCTTATCGGCTTCTTATAGACGAACCCAAATACCGATTTCCACTGCTTGAGGGCGTTTGGCTCATTCTTCACCAAAGACATCCCGATACCAGCGGTACTACACACACAGCTTGTGTTTATGGATACATACATATACACACACATATATATATGTATATATACACAGAAAATTTCCAGGATCATCCAAAGAGTACTTATGTTTTAGTTTTTCGCTGCAGGGAACAATAATAGACTTTCGACGTACAGCTGATGGGCAATTCATTACAGAGAGTGAGTACAGTTACATGTCCTTTGTCAATCCATTATTGTTATTATTGTTATCTACATACTCAGATACGTAGAAGGAAAATAAGAACCCATCATGTCGATGGTGAACAAGGGCATGTACATGTGAATGAATACGCGATGGCGTTACTATCTATATGATGTGTACTGTATAAATATGTGCAGTTGGGGGTAACCAGATCGGGGCTGTCCGAAGCAAGGATCTGTGCAGTGAGTTAACTCTTTTTGTTTCACGACATCTATTACCGCGTAAACTTAGTTTTGAATCTTGATTTTCGAAATCGGTATAACCATAGAGGGCTGAGAGTGAAGGTTTTTCATTCTCGTTTTTGTAGGGGCATTCTTTGATATGTACATAGGAGATTTTCCTGTGTCCGAGCAGACAAAAGAGGATATCGGTAGAAACGTTGCGGGAATAATACGAAGATGCTGAAACAAATGGATAACATTTTCGGCATCCATTGGCCTCGGGTTTTCCTTTTTTTTTTGGAGCAGAAGGAGATCGGAGGAACGGTGTCTGGAAAGGGATGATGTGAAACAGGCGGTTCTCAAGAAGGGAGGGACTTATGTTGTCTGAATATACAGATATATGTAATAGGGATTGTAATTCTCTGGTGTTTAGCTTTAGGAGCATCATAAAAGAGAAAGGCCGAAAGTTTTAAAAAAAGGAAGTTTTATGATATAATCATTTCAGGATATTACAAATTAAGTAATTGTGTATCTTTTATCCTACAATTTATTTGTATTTTTTTAGGAAAATTGCATATAAATATCTTAATTTTTACAAAAATTTCAGACAAATATCTAAATATAAAATTTTTATATAAATAGAATTTTTCAAAAATCCTATATAAATATTTGAACTTTTAAATTTTTTTCAAATAAACCGAAAATCTATTGACATGTTGACTATTTTCATTTGAGAAGTACTTCAACTTTGAATTTATTTAAAAAATTTCTCAACTTTGAATTTATTTAAAAAATTTCAAAAATTGAGGTATTTATTTAATATTTTTGAAAAATTTAGATATTTATATGAAAATTTTATATTTCAAGTATCTATCTAAATTTTTTGCAAAAGTTAAATATTTCTATACGATTTTCCTTCTAGATTTTTTTCATTTGGAAAAGGTGATTTTGTTTAAGAAACCAAATATCAAGGGGAAAGAAAAAAAAAGTATCATTAAAGATGGTTGAGGACACCAATAACAAAAAATCTAATACAATTGGAGCAACTTTTCAATATAATTGTTGTGAATAAAATATCCTTTCAAATAGTAAAATGAGAAAGAATGGGATTTTTTTAACCTCATTCTACTATCTTGTCATTTGCTTTAAACCAAAGAAACAAAAAACAAGGTGAAAAGAAAACAGGAAATGAAATATGAAGACTACATAAGCACATAATTCATAAGCAAAAACTTTCAGAGGATGAGTAGAAATTCATTTATATACACAGAAGCTACAAGCTGGAAATCTGAGGCTACAATTTTACAGTTTGGGAACTCGCAGAAGAAAAAGAAAAAAGAGAGAGGTGAGACTTAAAAAAAAAAAAGCTGTACCAAAGTAACTAAAGCTCCCAGCTAACGTAAGTGCCCTTTAATGGCTCCCATAAACAAAACACTCGAGGCCTTTTAGAGGGCTATGCGTAGTATCTATCATTCTACACTCCAATTCTGCACACACTCGGTTTCATTATTTTTTTCTCTCTTCATATGATATGATATGATGAAATGATAAGGAAGAGTTTACTTCTGTTTAGTTGATTTGATTTACGGACCGACCGGGGGCAGTTTTTACTTGTGTAATGGGGTCATCAAGAATTGCGAGCAAGCGTATTCTGATACAAATTTAGGGAGTTCTACGCCTGATGGATCGATCACGGGGATGGCCTGGTCTACGTCTTCAACTGAGAACGGGATGCTGCAAGAACAGAAAGGCATGGCAATCGATGTTACAAATGAAATTAAACCAAGGGGTAAGTTAAAAAGTAATGGAACAAAGAAACTTTCACCATCCTCTAAAGGGGAAGTTGCGAGAAAATCGGGGATTTATAAGGTCATTTAACAAGGTACAACTACTGAAAGATGAACAACCTCTAAGGTCCAGGTTATGTAAATGCAATTTCTAGTACAGGGTTCTTAAATTGGCTACAAAAGCAAAATTCTTCCAAGCAAAAATTTCCCCAAGGCAAAAACGTCCATGGTTCTCCATCACTTATGATTCATTGTAACATTTCATGCATAACCCGGAATTTTTCCTCGAGCCTGGCCAAGCTAGGTATGAAATTCAGTTGCCTTCAAAACCGTGGGGATCTAGATTTCAACTATAGGTAAAATATGGTGGTAAATCTCACTGATAATGGGGAAGAACAGGCGGAAGAGAAATGAAATAATACCTCATATCGTCGTCCAATAAGAACGAGTTTGATGTCAGATTCTGGCTATCCTTGTCCAGAAGTACCCTCATTTCAGCAACCACCTTCGTCGCATACAGACACGAGACATGATGATGTGTTCTAGTCAAACTTCCAACTCTAAGTGAAACCATTGGACAGAGAGATGTAGACAATAAAATAATTCACCTCGTTTGAGACGCTCTGTGTTCCGTACTTATCATCCCAGTACATTGTACTTATGCGATATATTTGCCTTATTGTCAATGCCTGTAAAAGAGTAAAACCCTCAGATAGTTTTAATGACACTTCAAATCGGTTTTCAGTGAGTAGATAAAATAAAAAGTGAGAGGCCAACTGAATGATTACCGGGCACAGATCATGCCTGATCTCGTCCAACGATTTTTTTCTTTTCTGGTGTATAACCTAAGATAAATGATAAGAGTTCCATTATACAAGCTACAGATAAAAGGAACTATGAAATTGCCATCACAAATGACGGAGGGTTCTACCAAAAATCCAACAGCTTGTCTGATATATTTTAGCTCGTGCCACGATGTTCCTGCAAACTGCATTTTACACATTTTAGAACTTAACCAATACACACACGTGCATAAAGCAATCACTGGCTACATAAGATGGTATATATACCTCCTCCTTTGCATTGGCTATCCATTTCTCCAACTCAGCAAGCCCAGATTTTACATATTCCCCATTCGAAAAGGTGCAACATTCACGTCGAAGGAGAAGACTGGAGAAGAAATTTAGACTGACTATGAGGAGAACAAAGTAACAACTAAGATCTAAAACTATTATCACCTACCTGTTGAAAAGCGACAGGTTGATAAAAGAGAAAACCTGAGTCACAAGCTTCCGGATAAAAAACGAGGGTACCTAAAAATACAATTTTCCGGTTAGAAAACAATAAACAAGGCAATTGAAAGAGAAAGCACATGCAAATATGCAATTCTTCTTGCTTCCACCAACCCACGAAAACTAAGGGGCAAGGCAGGAGTCAATAAATAGATAAAATCAGGTAGTGCCCTACACACGAGAAACAAGGTACAGTAACATATCACTTCATTATACCGGTCTACCAAAAACAGGTCATTAAACAAGTAATTACTATGTCCGAGATATTAAATTTGAGGAGTATATTACCTATAGGAACACGTGAGTTGCATTTCACAAAAAATATTAAGCATGGCAAATATGTTGCACCAGCTGTGGATGAACTTAAATACTTTCAAGCAGATACAATAACCAAGACAAGGAGATGAACATACATGATTTTCACGTAAGCGGGCCATAAGAGAATCCAAGAATTTCAGTATGCTGTCCCATTGACTACTTGGCGATTGCGGTGTCACACCACCTGGTGATCTAGAAGTTTTTCCAGCAATTCCTCGTGCAGCTTTTGGTGCCTTCAGAAATCACAGAAAAGCGAGATACTTAACTTGCCAGTTTTTCGAACCTAAGAAAACATATTTCTCAACAACACAATGCGAGGTAATAATTCACATAAAATACTAAAATCTTCATGGAGTTCTTACTTAAAAACTCTACGTAAAGAACTATTAATCTAAAGGAGAAGAAAAATGTGCCACAATCAGATGCTATAAGATGAGTGTACTATACTAATAACTCAGTCAGTTTTACCTCCAAAGTACATTAAAGTATTGATCAAAATGACTTTAAATTTACAATATCAGTAATAACCAATATCATGCTAATTGTCAGTAACTTGGCAATTTCATTAATGATGACAATAATTATAGAGTTAATATTGAGTTATCCAAAAAACAGATATATCCAGAAAAGAAAAATTAAACATGCTCCATCTTTTCCTACTTCACGGTACCCACCTGAATGCACAAAGCCAGAAGTGGTGCTAATTCTTTCTTCAAATTGTCACGAATTAAACCATAAATCTTCTCCACACAAGCAGTCAGTTGCTGTTTAAAGAGTATTGCTGGATATCTTGCTTCAACATGCGGCACACCACCATCAAGGCCAAAGTATTTAAAAGGCGACTTTATTCCCTGGTGTGCAAGGAACAAAGAATCAGTTAAGATATGGTGCAGTTACATGTTTGTCAATCCCCCATGGTTCTTAACAAACCATTCAAATGTGAAGTTAGCAAATCAATTTCCAGAAAGGAACATGAAAACAATTGGATAGTGCCCCAAGAAATGATCCAACATGAAAGATTTCGATTAAACTCACATAGCCAACCCTCCCAGGTAAACTGGCAGATCGTGTAGAATTCTGAGCACCTGCATGTAGAAAACCATTTGATCGAAGATTTCTCTGCAAGAGGCATAGAAGTGCTGAAGCATTTGACAGCCAATATGGTAATATGCTGTTCTCATCACTACCCTGAAATAAACATATATAAAGAACAAATCAGATACTTTACATGTTAGTCCGATCAATTTGTTCTAGGTATCAAGCAACGTACTCAAATTTTAGAACATAATAATGCATAGATGTTACAGTGACACAATTATGATTCAGCTTTAGGTGGATAGGTTAGTAACTTTACTGTCTAAAGTTTAATAATTAGCTCCCTCAACAAGAGTAAGATGGAGAGAAAGATTTCGAGATTGAAGCAAGAACCACCTTGAGAGCTTCATTGATCCCCTCAATGATAAAGTCAAATATGGCCGTCCTCTCAGATTCAAAGGCATGCCAGTGAAGAAGACATTTGTATATTATACAAGCAGCAAGTGGCTTATCATTAACAAATCCCAGTTTCTCTTTTATACATCTGGAGAGCACTTCATAATTCTCCTGCAATAATAATTTATCTCAGAATCAAACGTCCACGTAGGATTAAGTAAAGTAGAATAAGAGATGACACAAACTTGTGATGAACTCAAAACATGACAAATAATGCTCATTGGACATCACAGATTAAAACACAGGTTGTTGCCTTCATAGCGTGCCAAATTCAAGAGATTACAAATGTACCTGGTTTCTTTCTGCGGTTAATTTAGATCGACGTGACTCTGACATGCTACGTGAAAATGGTATAATGAGTTTCGAAGGTGTCGGAGACTCCTACAAATATAATAAACACGTTTAATATACCATTTGAAACATCTGAAATGAGCTAGAAATCAAAGGGAATGAAACAAAGGAAATGAAAAGAATAATTACTTACAAACAGTGATTTCTTGTCATTCTGGGTTGGAACAAGGGCACTAGAGTGTTTCTGTTAAAAGTTTAAGACATCTAATAAGGTGCGGTTGCTACAAAATATTATGGTCTAAAAGAACAGGATCAATGAATATGTGATATGGCAACACAGAAGCATATGTTTCAGAAATTCTGCCTGTTTTGCAGGAGACACAAAGCAATTTAAAAAATAAACCAAGAAAACCCAAACTGACATGGTTATCTTGCTCTTTCTTCTAATGCAGTAGTTTGTGAATGCAATATTATAAAGCACGAGAAATAGGATCAATAATGACATACTTCATCAAATGTTTTTCCTACAACAGGGCGATTGGTTGTTGGGGATGGACTCAGTGTCTTTTGCCGCAAAACATGGTTCTCATTCTCCAAGTGAGAGAGCTTCTCCTCAAGACTGATTGAAAACAAAACACAAAGAAGAAGCAAATAAGAAATTGATCAGTCGAGAACCTAAAGGAAGCAGCAAAGGAGCTGCCACAGACCTCTGGACACTTGTCTGGAGTTCAGAGCACTTTTCTTCAACTTCCTTCAACTTCTGTAATGTGTTGTTGCAATCTTTTTGAGCTTTGACAAGCTCCATCTCCAGCGTCAGATTCTTCTTTTCCAATAAGCTCATTGAATTCTATGATTAAAAAACATTGTCACAAGAATCTATGAGAAACCAAGAAGACATAATTTTGTTCTCTAAACCCAAGTTCTCGAACCTGATAACAAGAACATAAGAAGAATATTCACCTTCAGCAAGATATTTTCCTTTCGGAGCTCAGTCATTCCTTTAAGCTCTCTTTCAACAGCAGACTTCTCCTTCATGGATAACTCTAATTGCTTTTGCAGCATAGCATTCTTGTTGCACTCATTAATGGTAGCCAACTTAGATGCATCTAATTCAAGGTTCAAGGATTCCAACATTTTCTGGAGTTTGGATATTTCAACTGACTTAGACTCGTCACTACTCATCTGCATTTAGGGAATTTATGGTTATCAAATTTCAGAAGGTCTATACAATACAAAATGACAACAATTGACAGCATACTCTTAGTCGTTTCTCGAGTTGTAATCGCCATTCAAGATCTTCTAACTGCTTCTCGAGCTTAGTTTTTGCTAAGCGCAAAGCTCCAGCTTCATTAGCAGACTGCATGGCATGGATGTGGATGGTCATGCAATGAGTAACAAGATTGGAGGGGAAACAAAATTTTCTTTGCATCAAACTATAAAAGCCTCTGACCTGTTTAAGCCTTCGAAACTCTCTTTTCGCAAGCTTCTGTCGCCAACGACACTGAATAGCAATAATGAAAGACTGGCGGTGCCGAAATGCTGAGCGGAACTTATACATTCTCCAGCAAGCCTAAAAGTTTTACATTGAAAATCATACACACACGGAAGGTACTGAATTCGAGATCATCGCATACGGAGACACACCAAAAAATTAAAAGAAATCATATCACACGATATGAGTAAATCAAACAGAAAAAAATATGTATGTACCATTCAACATATGAAGATTCAAAGTTTACCTGAATTATTGTAGCAGCTCTGTGCTCCTTCCGATTGAAAAATTTCAACCGAGCCGAGTCACCACGGACACCAGATTGTATGACAATAGCAGCAGAAACAAGTTTCATAAATGCACATCTTGATAGCCACATACGGACATGCTTCTGTATCAAGACAGCAGCCGCTGCATTCCTTTTTGCAACATAAACATTTCGAGCAAGGCATCCTAGCCAAAATGTAACACCATTACGTTTAGAAAGATAAATATATAAAAAGGATTATCAGCAACCAAAATATTGAGACATGCACATGACTAAAAGTTGACGTGGGTGCATGCTACGAATTTGACTTGTATCGCAAATCAGCCAGTGTCCAAAAGAATATCCATGCAGAAACAACATGACATCAATTTAGCGCCACAAGGTCATATTTGGAAAAGGAAAATAAAACATGTTTTTCCAAGAGAGTTGGAGGTCGGAATAGCTCTCCAAATTTGAATGAAAACACAAAGGTTTGTGCATAAGACATCAAGTATAACACTACTAGAAAATTGAACATGGGAAGAGGTAAAAAAATCATGGTAAGTGAAGATGGAACCTCTACAGCGTGCTTGAAGTGCAACTGCAGAAGCCCGCACAGATATGAAGTTCTGATGTGTGACAAATGTTCTCAGTCTACGCTGAATGAGTCTTGCAGAGTTGTCAAGAACCTCAGCCCGCCTAGAGTCTAAAATCCCAATTTGACCTGCTCTGAGGAACACTTTTGTCCTACCTAACTGTGAAAGACAACGGGAATATGAAGAATAAAATCAACAAACAATTAAAGAATCCAATTCAAGATCCATGCAACGAGAGAAAAACTGCTTGGTTGTCCAATCAGGAGCAATACCTGAAAATTCCCAAGATTTAATTTCCTCAGGATTTTTTCAGTCAAAGCCTTCTCATCATAACTACAAAAACAGAAAAAGAAGCACACAATGGAGTTTTTCCTTGAGGAAAAAGATTATCAACGCATTATACAACCGAAGAGTAACCAAATAAAACCAAGAGTACTGTTTTTGTCAAACAGAAAGCTGCAGCATCCATACACATGCCATCTTTTTTGTACTTACGAATCAATTAGGAAGACTTGGACCAAGCAGTTGTAGAAACAAACCAACTATGATATTCATCAGTTATTAAAAATCAAAAAACACCAATTCAAGGGTGAAAAACCTCCAAGAATTAACTTAGTCCACGTTGTAAGGCCAATACCTTCCATCCATGAATTCTGAAGCTAGTAGCCCAAAGCGATCCACAAATTCTGAATAGCTCCTCCGTGTAGGATACCCTGCAAGACTTATTCGAACAGCTTCCAAAACACCCTATCCGGATACAACATATAACATGTCACAAAAGTTCATAGGATAGACAGCAGAGAAAAAGATACAGAGAAAGGAAGCATGACAATTTAAGGCCAGCCCAACAAACGACTAAAAGTCAAGTTATGTATCTCTGTCAGTGAATCATATGAACACAAAGCATATAAGGGAAACTGGAGGTTTGTATTTTGTAATGAGTAATGCAGAGTTGAACTACTAAGGTTAAAGGAGCATTTAATCAAGTTCAATTAAGCCACTAACCCCACAACGCAGTTGATGCAAAACACTGAGATTCTCGAACTTTTGAGGTCTGTTGAGTGAGTTTGGCTTCACACACCTAACGTAATGAGGTTCCGTTGAGCTGAGAGTTTCCATGAGGGCTTGGAGTTGTTGCTAAAAGGAAAGTTAACAATTAGAGTCATGATCTAGATATTATTGAATCATATCGGTTGCAAAACTCCCAAGCTTTTGGTAGGGAAAAAACTCTGTAGCTTTCGAGATACACAACTTTCCATAAGGAGGACCTTGCAATAAGAAAAAAGAACACAAGTGGAGAAATTCCAGACCTTAAATCTCGAAGCCACAGAAGAAAATTTGTACGAGGATCTGGCAGACTCCTCTGAAGGTGAAGTGAAAAGCCCAGAAACAAAAGGACATTTGGAGGAAGACAGCAGATTACAATGCTCTACAATTGCATAATCACGGTTTTTATCCAAAAATGTATCCGTTTGATAAGTAACCTGAAGAAATGGTAGAACAAGAAGTCATTAGGATTTTGGAGGAGACTATAATATTCTGCTCCTTATAAAAGCAAGACTTGCCTTGCCAGCATAGTGAGAGAGAGTAAAATCTGTCTCCGAGAATTTTGTTTTCTCCAACCTTGTATGAGATCTAAAGTTCTGGAACAGCTTCATCGAAAATGATTCATGAGTCGACCTCGGGAACATGCTGCATAGTAGCAAACCAGGATAAGGCAGTGCACAAAATAAATATATAGAGGTGAGACAAAATGAAAACATAGCAATGCTGTACCAAGCTTCATCCAAGAGTGCAATTACCCCAATAGGTTTCTGCAGATAAGGGACCAATAGAATCAGGTGTATGAAAAAACATTCATAGAACATTAAATGGCAGAAACAAGAGAGTTCAGAAAACAGACTTCAACCACTGTAGAAACTTTAGTTTGAAAACTGCCCCTTCTTCCTTAATTTCAATAATTAAATTTACTGTATCACCAGGCTACACACTTAGCAAACCGCTTACATATGCAAGCAGCACTATTGCAACTGAAAGGGAATGTGTTATTGTCCTTTATTTCCACTTTCCATCCTCGTGTTAAAGAATGGCAATATCAGTAAACCTAATGCGAACAGAACTTTAATATCACCCTAGCGTTCACTTTCTGTAAACCAAACATTTGAAAATGAGATGCATTATGCACACACAGACAAACATAAAAAAAGGTACATATAGGCATATAGCTTTGAAGGCAGTAATCCCTAGCTGAAGCAAGCTTCCAATTTTCAAACTTTTTCTCATTAGAGTTTAATGCCCCTTTGCCGCATTCTTCCACATTCCCCTTATAGTTATATTCCAGCAAACGTTTGAAAATTATTAACATCCCCCTTGTGGTTAAATTTCAGAGTTTAGGAAAGGTTGAGGCGGAACCAAAAATTAGAACAGGCACTCAGCAGGGCTATACCTATACACCAACTTATAATAAGCCTACAACTAATTGACAAAATGAGAGAACAACAACCTTCTCGATGAGGTCCAGAACATCTTGGTTGTCAATAAACTCGATATAACTCCAATTAATTTCTTCTTTTCTGTACTCATCCTGCTCCATCTTGAACACATGCTGATAATAGGAAAGGAAATGTAAGACGAGGAAACCAAGTACTAGGATCTGATGATATATCATCACAGAGAAACATGACATACCTCATTGAAATGCTGTTGAAGCTTTTCATTCGCGAAATTGATGCAAAATTGTTCAAAACTGCAGAATGACGATGAATAATAAATTTTTGTTTTTTGCTTTGGCAGACAGAAATCAAATTATAAGAATTGAACCAAAACAGAGGCTGACAAAAGAGATGGGTTAATGAGGTAGATAATGTTTATACTTAGTTCACAGTTAAGCAGACAATACGGCTCACCTGTTATTCTTAAAGCATTCAAAGCCATAAATATCCAAAACTCCTATTCGAATACGAGAATCCGGATCTTGACCCACAGATCTATTAATTTTATCCACCAGCCTGAAAAAGCAGAAAACTGAAAGGTAAAATGCTAACAAAAGACAACAATAAATGTGCAAATTTTTTTTAAAAAAAAAGAAAAAGACAAACCAGTCGAATAGACGAGCATAAACAGTCTTCGCAAGAACATCCCGGCTGGCAACAGCAGCATTACAGTCAAGAGCTTTCACAATGATGCCTTCACGGGTCAGAATCGTACGAGTGCAGAGAGAAGCCAGTAGAAGATTCACATCACACCTGACGAATTTGACAGTCAAACCACAAAATAAACAAATAATTTCTTAGTCATTCTAGTATCAGGAAATTTGACGACATTATTATTATCAGAAAAACACAAAGTACTTGAAAAGATCTGCAGCCATCTGGAGATGAAAGCTAGATTCCTGATCCTTTATGGCTGAAGAGTCATGCTCCTTTCCAGGGGAGAACTTAACATTTCCAAGATGCAGAATCGCAGCCAAAGTGCGAAATATAGCTTCCTGAGAAACGATTCAAGCACATAACGAGCGAGAACATTCAATATAATGACAGGAAAAAGGAAGCAAACATGTTAAATCTACTAAAGGTCTAAACCTGCTCTTCGTCGCTCATGCCTACAATATCCATGGCCCTCCTTGTCTTCACGTACTCCTCTGCATTACTTACTCCCTCTAGTTCAAAAGTCTTGCTTTGATTTAGATAATGAAACTGACGAGGATTTTGTAAGTTATATTTTTCTGCATCCTGTATGAAAGAATAATATTTATAAAAACAGTGGTAGCCGTAAGTAATTGATAAAACTAGTAATGATGTCCAGAGTACAAACAGGCAAAAAGGAAAAACCATTAACAACCATATCTAAAGAATAATATTAAGGCAAGAGGATTACATTCCCAGAAGCGCACAACTGATAGAAACAATGATAGTTTCTTTCAGGGTCTGTTATCTGGACTACACGTGATCTCTCCAGAAGATAAGTTCTGATTGCAGCACCAGATATTCTACCATTTGCATCGAACTGAATCTCAACAAACTTTCCAAAACGGCTGAATAAACAAAACAATACTTTGGTAAGTAAATCCATTGTTTTACAATTATATACTGGGAATATCAAAGTCTATACGGAAAAGACTTGGTCAATGCAACAGATATGTGAGATAAATTATAACCATACTTGCTGACACAGGATTGAACAAAAGAAATAGAACCCACAATGCACTGAAATTTGCAAAAGGAACTTCCTACACCCTCAAAACCTGTTTACCGTGGGCTACAAACAGGCCAGCACAAACGCTTTTTATGCACACACATAATGACATCTGAGAAGATTCCTAAGCGTTGAAAATGGTTACTAATTTCTCTCCATGAAAGATTTGCCGAAAAGATATCGGCTAGAAACTATAATAAAAGCACTGCCAAGTTTCCAAGGAAAATAACACACTGCTTGGAAGGAAAAGACAAATGCTATACGCACCTTGAATTATCATTTCTAACTGTTTTTGCGTTGCCAAATGCTTCCAAGAGAGGATTCGACTGTAGTATAAAAGTTCTTAAATTAGATAAACACAACTCACTGAAAATGGAATTCTAAATAGGTAGCCGGAAGATCAACCTTCCTAGTTTACTACATCTAAAATGACAAGCCAATAAATTTCCCGGAGACTGATGGCAACAGGTGAACTCAAATCAGCGGTAATTAAATCTCAGTTTCCGTGTATATAAAAGAATAAAACTACAATTTGTTTAAGCAAAATTCTTACTTCAAGAACTTGCTGCTCAACTGTCTGGTCATCTTCCGCAGCACGTCCCCCAACAAATGTAAGATACTGCATGATTAGTTTCGTTGTCTCAGTTTTCCCAGCACCACTTTCTCCACTAACGAGTATAGACTGGCTTCTACCATCATCAATCATCGCTCTAGATTATAAACCAGGAGTAACGTCAATAGATTAACAACACAGGCAGCAACAGGAATTATGTATGGGGAAGATAACAGGAAAACGGGTCCCACCTGTATGCAACATCAGCAACTGCAAAAACATGAGGACTAAGCTCCCCGAATGGCGCTCCCTTATACTGCTCCATCATGTGTACATTGTAAAGATGCGGGAGCTTCTTAAATGGATTAACAGCTATCAAAATGCTTCCAGTATATGTCTACAAAGGAGATACAAAGGGAAAAATATGTTGAGATGATTCAAAAGTAAGGAGTGACACAATAATGGAAAGACCAAAAATGATAAATCCAAAGGGAAAAAAACAAACTGGTGGAGAAAAGATACATACTAACAGTTGCAAAATTTGAGTGCAACGAGAAGTGACTAAAGTTACTTACACCTAGTTTCAACATAAATAATTGAAGATCACTAGTTCCATCTTCTAAATTAAGCATGCAAGTATGAAACCACCACTAGGACAAAAGGGGAACAACAGCAACCCGTATAGGAAAGCTAGCAGGAAGAACATTATTTTGACCAACTGTACCTAGAGAAGAGACTTCCAATAACTTTAAGTAATATTGCTGATCATATTACAGCGAAAATGCAACAAAAAAAAAAAGATCCCATGGTGATCAATCAAGGTGTTGGTGTGAAAGACCAACCACTGGCCGAATGCAGGTCGTCAGGTAGCAATTTTGGTGCAAATAACAATTAAAAACATTGATACTTGAGTCACACAAGAATGCAGACTAAAAGCGAGTGTAACTTAACAACTCTGTTCAACATGCCATAAATTGAATATTCCATCAAAAATTGAGAATTACAAACAAATCCACATCACTTGTACAATAGAAAAAGTGCGTAAATCCATCACCAATGTCAAAATGAGTGAAATATTGCCATTATTTCTCACACTTATGAAATAAAGATTTATACAGCAAAAATGTACCAGATCAGTATATCTAGAAATAAATCGATTAGGAAAAACTTCTAGAGAAAAAGTTCCATTGTCATTACAATCAGAAAAGTAAAAAAAAAATGATTAATTGGTCTCCAACAGCACACCAGACATCCTGGTAGTTGAACCCTAACGGTAATTTGTTCAGTTAAGTCAACCATAATGCATTACAATTGTAGATCAATGCCTAAATGTACACATACTTAGCAAGACAAACCAACAACAATAAATTGCAATTACACAAAATGTGCAGTTTGCATCAATAAAAGTGGCATTAGATTGATAACTTGATCATAGCACCAGAAACAGAAACTGGAAATAATGATGCCAGCATACTATTTTAGTCGATCAGATGAAAAATATAAGTGAATCAAATAGCTTTCTTAAATAATCAACAGAATCCATTACTTGGATCAGTTCAAGAACTGGAATTAAGCATTCAGTTCAGCCGTTCTGGTATCTAAAATTCCCATAAAATGGTAACGAAACTGCCAATAATACAAGTAAATAAGAGTCTAACAGTATCTACAATGTCAAAGACCAAAATGTAAAACATACAAAAAACACTTAACTAGTTTAATGACAACTCTTCTTAAACGAAAAGCAAGGTATACCCAGGAAACCCCAAGCTTCGAGCACAAAGCACAATGTAGTCACGAACAGCATAATCGCCAACACAGAAATGCAATGGACGTGATGATTACCAGCTACAGCACGATAAAAAGATTAAAACCAGCCCATATTCCGCACGCAAAAGAACAATGACTTAACTCACATATATATCATTAAGAGCATATCTCTTCTGAAGAGTATAAAGCACACCAGGCTCGTGCAAGTACGTCAGCTTGGTCATATCATCGACTCCATTATGCTCTTCATCATCGGCATCCCTCGGGAACAGCTTTTCCGGAGACACCGAAACCTAAACACCGAACGAAGAATCACAACAGGGCATGAAACAGAGAACATAAATTCAATCCGGAGAAAAGACAGTTACAGTCTCTCACCTTCTTCCCTGAAGCAATTTCAACTTGGACTTTCTTGTCGGAAGAACCAACAATCTCAGCAGCGACCCAAGCCAAATCCTTATCCTCCACCCAAACCTTCGAGCCTCGGCGCATATTCATGGCTATTCGCTGTGAATCCTTCATGAACTCGGGATGAGTTCAACAACAAAAGCCCTAGAAATTCCGATTCCGAGGAGCAAGAGACATAGATAACGACAGAGAGAGCGAGAGACTCCGTCGGACCGTCAGCTATGCGCCTGCGAAATTTTCAAATTTCAAACGAAATGAAAACCCTAGAGAGAGAAAAAGGGGCCAAATAGTGACACTGCAAGAAAGAATAAAAAATAAATTCGTTTCAATAAAATCCCAAAAAAAAAAACCATTCACTTCCCGCCCTCAAGTCCGTGAACTGAGCACAGAGAAAAAAACAATTTTAAATAAATGGTTAATAAAAAAATTTATCAATTTAAAATAAACTTTTTTCTCAGGCGAAATGGAAGACACAAATGGCGTCGAGCTGATTCCGTGATGGCCACGTCATCACCCGTCCCCCAAGTGCCACGCGCGACTCTCGCAGTCGTCTCTTTCTTCCTCTTTAGATTTTCTTTTTTTTTTTCTCAGATTTTCTAATTAATTTTAAAAATTACCAAAGAAAATATTTCTTTTTTTTTTGGTAATTTCTTATTTTATTTTTTCAATGTTTTTTTTGTAACACGATTACGCTACCTGATTACTACTTCCATAATTATCCTATTTTAAAGTTTTATAATTTTTTGGATGTTGACTCTCTAATTCTTTTGGATAAGATATTTCTACAGTTATTATAATTGTCGTTTCTTGTAAGCGACTACTTTGATTATAAAAATAAAAAATAAAAATTATGTATTTATTTTATTTATTGGCATTGGTAGAATATGTTGGTGTAATTGTCAAAATAGTCATCTTACTTCGAGTAGCATACACACAATACAACTTCAATATCTCATGTTCAAATCACTAATCCAAAACGGATTGGTTCGGCCCAATTCAACCTATATCGATTTGAATTGATTCGTTTTAAATTTAAATCGCCTCGGTCTATTTTTATGAGTCAATAAAACTTTTTATTCATCTCAAATCAATCTAAATCACTGGTCGACGATGGTGAACCAATTAAAAAAAAAGAAAATTAAAAAATTATTTTAAAAAATAAATATATTTAAAATTTTTTAAAAAAAATATATATATATTTTTTCCTAACTCAAACGGGTTAGTTCGGTCTAGTCCAATCTACCCCGTCTCGAACTCACAATTTTTTAATTCAACCCAATTCGACCATTGCGGAAAATTCTCCACTGAGGTAATCATAGCCGTAGCATGCGCTCATTTCGAGTGAGTTTTCTTTTTTTGACGAGTCCAAAATTATTTCGTTCAACTCGACTCACTTTAGATCATAAACCAAACGATATGGTTTGCAAATTAAATAAATGACTAAAAATAAAATTTAAATATGAAAAAATTATTTAAAAATATTATAAATATAAGAAAATAAATAAAAAACTAAACGAAACAACTCATACCTATTAGAAACACAATTTTAATATAGATCTAAGTTTGAATGGTCTAGTGTTAGAAGAACATGGAAAATATACTCTTATCCCGATTTCAAATCTAAGTATGGAGAGGGAATCACATAGATTTTTTCGATTCTCTAAGAGATATAATTGGATCAAAAATTCAGTGAACTTCCAAATATTGTAATATTAGTGTTTATAAGGGATAATAGTATTTATGAACCATAAATTATTGTTCTTTATGAAATTTAGTATTAATTTTTTTATTGTTATGTTCAAATTTTCAAACACCGTTGTATTAATATCTAATCTGCTAAACAAAATTTTAATCTTAAATTAGTTTTTTCATATTTCTTTCGCATGTGATTTATGTCACACTTCTTGAACTATCCACACGATAACGTATTTTTTAGCGTGATATGTATAATTTAGGCAATTGGGTAAAAACTGAAAAAAAAGGCATTTAATTTTTCTTTCCAAGTTATAATTTTGTATTTAAAAATACCACACGTAATAATATCTCATTTCACAGGCGTCACGAAATTTTAAAAGTATTATCATTTATGCAGTACAATAATTCTTTTTTTTTTTGTTTAATTTGGGTATATTAATAAAAAAAGGTGGTAAAATAATTCTTGAATCGTCGTTTCATACAGAAATCATCCACCAAATCATATTTTCCGACGTAATCAGCGAGGAGAAATAAACTTACCGGCGAGGTTGAGCGGCCTCCGGAGTGGCCGTGACGGCGACAAGAACGGCGGAGAAGAAACCTCGTTACCGGAGATTTAATGTAATTAATTTTTTTTTCAACATTTGTGTTAATTTTTTTAAATCTTTTTAAAATATTTTATTACGATTGTTATTTCGTTAAATTAAAAATGACGTGAGAAGAAATTTGTTGACGGCGTCTTCGATGAGCATCACGGAAATGTAAACCATATTTTGACAAATAAAATTATTGTTTTTCTAAATACTATATCGCTATTGTTATTTCGTTAGAACACAAAAAAAGTAATACTTAACAAACATATATATGGATATATTTTGATTTTTTTTAATAAAATGTTTAAATATTTTCGTGAAAATAAATGCATACATTTAACAAATTTATCTTCTTGTTTCGTACTTATATCTTGCTAGACAAAAAAAAAACTATGAAATACGTGAGGACATTCTACAAGTTTATTATCAAAAATACATTTTGTTCAAAATACTACAACCTATATCTTTACCTAATAAAAACTATCTACTTCATCCACTACCTTTATAATTACGAACTTCTCATATTATATATATATACAGTGGCGGATCCAGAAATTTTTTTCAACGGGGGCAACAAATATAAATATGATATAAAATATAAAAAACTAATAAAAATATATTATCAGAAAAATATTTTTCATTATATAGCTAAATTCTCCGATCTTTCATTTTTTTAAATCTATTCCTAACAACTTCATTTATAATTATCTCAAACATATTTTTTTCGTTTCATCTCTGCCGGATTTTAAATTTGAACTGTAGACCAGTGGCGGATCCAGAAATTTTTTTCAACGGGGGCAACAAATATAAATATGATATAAAATATAAAAAACTAATAAAAATATATTATCAGAAAAATATTTTTCATTATATAGCTAAATTCTCCGATCTTTCATTTTTTTAAATCTATCCCTAACAACTTCATTTATAATTATCTCAAACATATTTTTTTCAATAAAACAAATTAGAAAATCACTCAAAGGCTGATCACCAATCCGATTACGCAAAGTTATTTTAACATGACTAAAAACTGTCATATAAATGAGCAATTTTGAATTTATTCCGTTAAATAGATCATTAAATTTTGGACACTGTAAATTTTTTTGAGAAATTTCTCAATAGATTTCTCTGTTAAATCAATTATGAGATTTGTATAAAAACAAATTTATTAATATGATAGATATTTAGAAATAAATGAATAAAAGATAAAAAAAATATTTAAAATAAAATCCAGAATACTTATATATTTTTGTTGGTTTTAGTTTTTTGGATTTAATTATTATTGGATTTTTATTTTTTTATTTGATAAAAAATTAAACAGAATTAATTTGGAGTTGGTAAAGAATATAAAAAAATGAAGGAGAATGTAAAATTGGTAGAAAAAAAAATTGAAAAAAAAAAGATTTAGGGTTAAAAAAATGAGGGGGCACCATTTCATTTTTAATGGGGGCATTGTTATAATTTAATTAAAACTATAAGTAATATTTCTTTTTTTTAAAATGTGAATGGGGGCATGTGCCCCCACTTATGTGCAAGTAGATCCGCCCATGTATATATATATATATATATATTACTCTCCCGTGATAAAATAATTCAGATATATGATACAATTACATTTTTACTATATTTTCATATAGTTCATCCCATAGTTTTTGTGCAATTTTAGACGTTATAGCTCGCTCATATTTGGCTCGTATATTGTTTCGTTTTGTTCTTTAATGATTTTTAGGTATAAATAAATATTTTGGCACCAAATGGACGAAACAAAGGGTGTGGAGCTGAACTGAGCCGGACAGACGACTTGAAGTGTTTCACGATCGTCCAGAAAGAATTTTGGACGAACCACGATTCAACTGACCAGAAATCGATCTGCCAAGATTCGGTCCGAGTGCTCAGAAATCGACCAGGCTGAGTTCAAGTGTCCGGAACTCGACCAAGTTCAAACCGAATGTTCAAAACTCGGTTGGATCTGCCCAACAATCAACCGACTATCAAAAAATCGGTCAATTACTCATCTGAGTGTCTATAATTTGACCGATTGCTGGACGAAAAAAAAAAAGAATATAAGTCACGGGAACGCATATAAATAGAAGATGCGACAATTTTTACACTTTTTTTTCAATCCGATGATCCACACAAAAACTCATGACCACCATTTTGCATAGTTTTCATTCATTTTCGTATCAGGTGAAAATAGATCTATAATTCTAGAGATTGGTGCTGGTTTTGATGTCGTAGGATAAGCCAAAAATATGACGTTTGTAATTGATATTGATTCCTTTATATAAATACACTATTTTTTCAGTTATATAATTTATATGAACGAAGCTATCAATCTCTCGATTCAATAGTTTAATATTAAATATAAACGTTATCAACATTTCTAAATAATTATTCATCTCTCGATGCGATAATTAATTTATTTACAGAATTAGTTTCAAATTATAGTGTCATATCTCTACAAATTAAAACTATATATTCATTCACTCAAATGACTAACAAAAAAAATATATCAAATATAACTTGGTTGAGTCTTTGTACACGCTTTTTTTTTCTTTATTCCTCTTAAATTTTTATGATACAGGAGAACATTAGATCCGGAGACAAATAAAATAAATGATTCTCAAATTTGTAATAGATATTTGAAAAAATATTAAGAATAGATTAAATTATTATTCTATATTATTTATAATAAATTAAATTTTAATTTGAGTATTTAATGGATAAAATAAAGTTTTTAAAGTAGATAAGAGATGGTGGACAGAGTTTCATAGAATATAATGAAGTTTTTTAAGTAGATAAGGGATTAAATCTTAATATTAAAAAACCTATGTAGTTGTGAAATTGTTTTTCCATAGTCTGCTCACCTAAGCTTATTAATAATCAGATTTTTAAATAAAATTATTACACATATGCAATGTCAATATAGCCTTTATCTCAACATTTAAAAGAAACTATTTGATAATGAAAATTTGTCGAGTATATTTTTAAAATGGTCGAATAAGAAATACTGATCCCTTTATGTTTCTAATTTCAGAGGAATTTACTCGACACAACAAACTACTGAAAATACTAATTTAATAAATACATACACATATCCACAAATTTCTAAACAACCAACCAGCATAACATGAAATTACACAAATATCCCTACCTAACAAAAAACGACATCGTTTCTACCCTCCCCAAACAAACGCTTTCACTCGCTGTTTTGAGAGATCACTTCACCAAACCTCAAGAAGAGCTGGGCATCAGAAGCACTCATGGAAGGGCAGTTGAGAGAGTGAGGAGCCTTGAGGTTAGCATACTCATCGACGTAGCATGAACCAGGTTGCGTGGTCGAGGCCACGGCGACTGGGACCGAGGTGGGCGCAAGGCTCCCGAGGACCCGAGTCACCTGGTGCATGGTTGGCCGCTCTCCCGGTTGCCTTTTCGTGCAAAGAAGAGCGAGCTGGAACACTTTCTTCACCTCCCCGAGGTCCTTGCATGTCGTCGTGATCTCGGGATCCGCCATTTCCATCACCGCATTGTTCCCCGTCTTCGACATTATCTGATCATGTGATCAAATACAGTTTCAAGAATGCATACTGAAAACAAGGTCCAAAAGTTAGGTGGGCATGGGGTTTCCCGAATCCACGGGTACCCGATATTCGGGAACTCGAGCCATGATGCCGAGTACAGGTTTCATCAGCCAATAAATAGTGCAGGGCCTATCCGAAGGAGTGGGGGAGAACGAGGCCCGATGGGCAAGATTTTAGGTTTTCTTTTCGCGATTTGGCGAAACCTAACCTGACCCGGTTTTGATTACCCAAGCACTCGTCATACCTCGTCGGTACCCGACCTCCACGAGTCCGAAACTCAATGGAGCAAGACTGAGGTCGGGTATGTCAGAAAACTCAGGTACCCAGCCTATCCCCATCCCTAATTCAGACAGTTTACAGAGACAGAACGACATACCAGATGATGGAGATTAGACTCGTTTTCGACGGCTTTCCTTCCGGTTAACAGCTCGAGCAGCACAATGCCATAGCTGTATACGTCAGACTTCTCGGTGAGACGAGAAGTTCGAGCATACTCTGGGTCAATATACCCGATCGTTCCCATTATGTAAGTCGAGGTGTGTGACTTGGAAATGCATAGGCTTTTCGCAATCCCAAAATCTGTCAAATGAGCCTCGAAATCTTTGTCGAGAAGAATGTTGGATGACTTCACGTCCCTATGGATAATCCGAGGACTACAATCGTGGTGCAGATACGCCAGCCCTTGCGCTGCACCATAAGCTATCTTCAGCCGGGTTTCCCAGTCAAGCCTCTTCTTCTTCGTCGATCCTTTTCAAAAAATGCAGAAAACCAGATCTTATCATATGGAAGAAACGTTTATTTACCACGTAAAGATCTGAACGTTCTGCAAATTTATGTGCAAAGAACCGTAAAATTTCAAGAACGATGGAGACTTACCGTGAAGGAGATCCCATAGGCTGCCATTCTCCATGTAGTCATAAAAGAGAAGATTGCCTGAGGGAGAAAGCGAAAAGCCTTGTAAGCTCACAAGATTCCTGTGCTTGATGCTTCCGAGGGTACCGAGCTCTGTCTCAAACTCTTTCAGCGATTGTGGGTAGTGAGAGTAAAGTCTTTTGATGGCAACCGGTTTGCAGTTCTTCAGAACACACTTGTAAACTGTGCTCGAGGCTCCATACCCGATAATATATTTCTCGCTGAGATTTTCCGTCATTCTCATAATGTCCTCGTAAACATGAAGCGCCAGATTCATGTTAAGGATCACCAGCTTTGGGTTCGAGTAAGTAACTGACGGAAAAACAGCATTCAGTATCAGTTTACGAGATTCTATCGGAACAAGGAATGTTTGAAGGGAATACAGAAAGTAAACCTGGTTTGCTGAACGATCCCTCGAGGAAAGGAGGAGGATTTTGTGGTCGACAAGTCACCACAAGAACCATGAGAAGGATCACGAGTACCGCAACAGCAATCCCGAGAATCGCTGCTTTCGAGATCGGAACTGCATGCAAATATATCATTTAGATTCCACAGGGAAAAGAAAAAGAAAGAAACGAAGTGGATTGTCTATGACAATTTAGGTTTCAGTCATAGAAGAGCGATAATAACCTCGAACTGTCGGCCGAGACACACGGCAAGGCGAGTTTAACCAGTTACCGCAAAGGCCCGGGTTGCCTATGAAGCTTTTTAAAAGAGAAAATGATTCAAGGATAAGACATCAAAACCTCGTAAAAGATCCTCTCAGGGAAAAACCAGGAAATGAAAATCCTCGTAAGGTTTGCTCTAACCTGTCGGGAGAAAATCTCGAGAAGTTATTGCTCTTCGGAATATTGCCAACTAGGTGGTTGTAAGATACATCCCTACATTTATCAGGCAATGATGCAGGGTCAGATTCTGAGCCCGAGAATCTTTAACCAAAACAATAAAGGATTCCGGGACTTACAGAACAGTTAAACTGAGGCAATTGATTAACGGATCGATATTACCCGTCAAATTATTATGTTCGAGTCTCCTGCATTTTTGAAGAACCGTTATTCATAAGATAGCAGATATTGTACAGGCATTCTTGGTAAACGATGAACAGAAGCGTTCATATTTGTATAATTTGGATTTGGACCCAATAGCAGATATTGTACAGGCATTCTTGGTAAAACGATGAACAGAAGCGTTCATATTTGTATAATTCGGATTTGGACCCAATTTTTCAGTTCAGTCTTTTCGAAAAAGATGGCATACTCAATTCATCATTGATGCAACAGAAGTTATATAATGACTTTCAGAGAATCACATGAGCTATAAGACAGAGTCCATCTTTCAAGAAACACAACTGGAAAGACAAGTTCTGTCTAAAAAACCCGAGCAATTATCAGTGTTTCCAATGCTGTAAAAAGGAAACTTACAGCAAGAACATGTTCTGCAGTTGGCTCAGTTCTTCAGGAATCGTACCCGAGAGATCATTATTCGAGAGATCTCTACAAGCAAAACAAAAAAGACAGATCACAAACTCAGACCGGCGACAAGAAATTTTTGTTAATTCTTACAAAGCAACGGAAGAGACTACTTACATCTCCATAATACTTCTTAGATTCCCAAACTCGGGGGGAACAACACCTGTTATATGGTTTCTGCTCAAGTTCCTATAACAGTATAGTAAATTTATTCAACAAATTTCAAATCTTTATTGAAGAAAGCACAAGCAAACTCGAGTTTCATGAAAGCTTACATCTTTAGAAGATGCTCCAAATCACCGAGGGAAGAGGGTATGATGCCGCTTATCTTGTTGTTGGATAAATCCCTTTGAATATCGGCGAAATCATTTAACCATAACACAGATACATATATAAAGATACATGCATCACTGAATAAGAAGTACTTACAATTTGTCCAAGTTGCCGATATGAGATAAATCAACCGGTATTGGTCCTCTGATATTGTTGTTAGATAGATTCCTGGACATTCACAATAGAAGAGTCAAGGCAGAACAAAAGCAAAAGAGGGCAAAGTATAAAGAATGATAACAAAGACTACATAGAACCGTTTGGAAGTAATTCTATAGAAAGAGACATCTTTTACTTACAGGTAAGTCATGCTCTCCAGTTTCTGAAATCCTCGGGGAATAGTTCCATTCAACTTGTTCCCGTGAACGTTTCTACAGTTCCGTTAATGGAATTCGCAAACCACAATGGCGTAATAACCATCGTAAGACTTTACACTATAGAGTTCAAAGTACAAGAATGGAGAAAACGAAAAAGAGAATATACTTACAAGCTGATTAGATTGGTGCATGAGCTAAGATTGTCGGGTATAGGTCCTTCTAAATCATTATTGGCTAGATTCCTACAATAAAAACTACCATGTCAGCATCTCTTTTAAATCATAAAACGATGGAAAACTCAGTGCAAGGCAAGTGGGGAGACACATACAGATCGAACAAATCTGTCAGCTGCCCGAGCTCTGGAGGAATACGTCCGGAAAGATGATTATCATTCAGCTCCCTGCAAACATTTTGGGGAGAATGAAACAATATGGGAAAGAATATACAGTGGAAATGAGTGATCGGGCCAGCATACAGGTAATGAAGCTTCGTCATGTTCCCAAGCTCGGGTGGAATTGAACCTGTCAGCTTGTTGCTGTGCAAGTATCTGCAGACAAAAGTATAACATAACCACTAATATTTTACAAGGTGGCCGGTCCATCAATATCACAGACTATTTAAAACCGAGGAATCAACGTTACAGTTATGATACTTCCACATAGTGAAGCAGCAAATGTAGCAGCAAAACCATTGGCAATACTACGAAGGAAAATACTTACAGTTTCTCGGTGTAAGTTAGATTTCCAAGAATTGGAGGGATAGGTCCACTCAACAAGTTGCTGCTTAAATCTCTGAATCAATTTTTTTTAAAAAAACAATCATTTAAATTCATGGAAATGTCAAAATTTTTCAGATTCTTTAAGTTTTGTTGACTAAAATGCTCTTACAGCACAGCAAGAGCTTGCATGAGGCCAAACACATAAGGAATCTTCCCAGAGAGCTGATTGCCTTGCAATGATCTGAAAGATGATCGAAAAATTCCTTATGAAATAAAAAACGACTTTCTATTCGACGAAGCAAAAGATCTATAAAAGATCGAGACAGGAAGGACTAACAATGTGGCTACTTGCAGGAATCCGATATTGAAAGGGATCTCACCAGTTAGCTGGTTATAGGACAAGTCCCTATAATTCCAGAAACGAGTAAACCCACGGGATAAAAACCGTAAAACTCGAGAGAAATTCCAAGAAAAGAAAGCAAGAGAGGTACTTACAAGACCTGAAAGGAAGTGCAATTGCCAATATTATCAGGTATACTGCCGGTCAAGCTGTTGTTTTTCACATCACTGATCAAATTCAGAAAAGAAAAAAAAAGCCATAGAGCTCAAATAAGATTTTAACTTTTTCAAATCATACTTTCCTGATAGAAGCATACAGTTGCAGCTACTTACAAGAACCATAAACCAGTCAGTTGACACATATCCGGAGAGAGACTGCCAACCAAGTTATTTCCCCGCAAGCCACTGCCGATTGGAAGAAAGGACGGAATTATCACCCGACAAAGGCATCATATGGAAGAGAAAAGAGCTGGATCTTCGGATAAATCACTCGAACTTACAGAAACTGCAGAACTTCATTCCAGTATATGAGTCTGGGTATCTCACCACTGAGTTTATTCTGCGCAAGGTCCCTGGAATTGTCACAGCCAACCATAGTTTTACTCTTAGAGAGCATCTGAATCGGATAATAGAAGAGCTGTAGGGAAGAATAACATACAAATTCTTCAAGTTAGGGATCTGAGACAATGTAGAAGGGATCGGTCCTATCAATTGGTTGTTCTTCAAATATCTGGCAACATATTCAAGCCCTTCAAAACTTTAAGTTTCAATATACACAAGCAAAAAACTTAAACTCCGATGAAAATTACAAACTCACAGTGCCTCCAGCTGTTTCAACTTCGATATAGAAAACGGAATGTCTCCGCTTAATTCGTTAAACGACAAGTCCCTGAAACCTCGACATAATCAATCATCTAAAAAGACGAAACAGGCAAATGCATTTCTCCAGAAATGTAGCAGATTTGGGCAAAGTTCAAGCCTTACAACATCTGCAGAGAAGAACAGTCACCAATCTCATCAGGGATTTGACCTGACAAGCGATTTCCTCGAAGATCACTGCGTTAGAGAACCGAAAAACTATAATCAGCATTGAGTCATGGTTGACACAAGGATCTTATCCAAACTCTTCAAAAAACGATGCGAAAAAGAGACTTTTTCTGGGAAAATCTGCTACAGTGATAGGAGAAACCGTACATGGAAACCAAGCTCTTGAGATCTCCAATGGCGGGAGAAATTTCTCCATCAAGGCTCAAACCTGACAAATTACTACAACATAAAAAGAAGACTCAACACGCAAAACTTGGAAAGAAAACTACAAATCAAAACTTTTCCAACGAAATCGTCTGAAGAACAAAAAAAATCACTCAGAGACAGGAAGTGAACTTACAGGGCAACCACATTGAAGGTGACATTGTCACAAGTCACACCTCTCCAAACACAACAGTCTGAAGAAGATGAATCTGTCCAATCATACAGAACATTGTTCACATCTTTGAATGACTTCTTGATCTCCAACAACGTTGCTCCTTTTATTACATATTGTACATACATGCAACAGGAATGGAAACAGAATCGTCAGTTCTAGGAGAAAAAAAAACCATTCAACTCCAAACAGAAAAACTTAAACCCTAACGTTGAAGGGCTTTTTTGGGCCGGAAAAGAGAGAAAATCCTGACATTGGGGAAATGAAAAGTACCCAGATCGAATTTTCACCGGGAACGGTTGAAAATTTCAAGATCATGAACAAAGACCAAAGCTTTACCAATAACCCAAGACAGGCATTCGCAGCAGTCAAATGGCTTTATATCTGATATCTTTAAGAGACGAAAATTTCCCAGTTTCTCAGAATTTCAGCTTCTGTTTTCCTTGATCTCTTTCAAAGTTTCCCGGGAAACAAACAGAAAAACCAGAAACCATGCACCACCAACATCACTCACCGTCGTCTGAACTGACGGTCCCAAAGCTCAAACAGACGAGAAAACCCAGAAGAACAACTTCTCCACAGAGCGCCATAGACGAGGCCTTCCCAAGCACAACCATTCCCCAGAAACACCGCAAACAAAACGACAGCGTTTTGCCAGCCAATACGGAGCTAAATCCTCATGAAGAAGAAGCAACCGAGGAGGAGGAGGAGGAGGAGGAAGAAAAGGAGGTTTTACTTAAGAGAAGGGTATGTAATACCGACATTGAATTCTATGGTTCAGACAGAGACCATCCATTATTTTCTCTTCTTTTGCATTTTTACTTTCACCCGAAAAGTCTCAATTTTCAGGGATTTTTATCGTTCCATCACATCTCTCTGGCGATATAAACAGTGTTTCTTGAGTGCCCAGAAGACAGAAGCCTCAGAGGCTGAGATAGAGATGGAAAGAGAGAGAAACACATAAATGTGTAGAGAGAAAATGTACAACTGTAGGGACGGTTCACGAAGCGAGGAAGAGAGAGAGAGAGAGTGATGAAGAAGAATTATTTGGAGGATAAAGTTAAAAACCCATCATCTTTTTTTCTCTCTGGCAGAGTTTCTGAAACTTTGCAGTAGAGAGAGAAAGAGAGAGACGTAGTAGTGCAGCGTTGTTGTTTCAGATTCTCTCTCCTCTCTCTCTCTCTCTCTTTTAAGAGGACAGCTCTCTCTCTCTCTAAAAGGGTAAAACGGTCAAAGTGAGGAAATTTGCCATGGCAGTGAAATAAGAGTCGCTTTCCTTGCAAATTGCGAAGCCTCTGAAATTTTTCTGCGCAGAGGGAAAAGGCCGTTTGACAGAAGACCCATATCATATCAATACTACACATTTCCTTGGTAGTTTCGTAAATATCTCCCCCCTCGTAAAACCCTTTTATTACCACTTTGCCACTAGAGAATTCCCATCCCATGTACGATTTACTAGTGATTCCTATTTTCCAAATATTAACTTCTTTTGGGTAACATTTATGGTTTACGATATTTGCTTTGGCTAGTTTAGGAATTTGTTTTCTAAAGGACTGACATTGTCATTGTTGTGGGACAAAATTATATAAAAAAGATGTTCAAGAAATTTAAAAAGATGTTTTATAGTATCAGTGATGTTAACAGATTTTAAATATAAATTAAAATAAATAATCTAATGTTGTTCAAAACAACTACGATTTCAAATTTCTTTACTTTTCATAGTTTTGGAGATTTTTTAGAATAAATTTTAAAAAGAAATTTGAAGTTTATGCACCACTGTTGTCGGTAGACTTTGATAATTTACTGTTAAAAAAAAAGCTTTCTCTTCTTCTTAAATTCAATGGAATCGTATAAATTTAAACTCTGCTAAAATTATCAATGTATTAACCAAATTTGAGTCGATATTATATAACTCGTTTAATTAATTTCTGACAAAGCTTCTACGAGACATTAAGGGGCCGAGGAGCTCACGAGGGACTTTTGGATAGGGGAGGGCAGTTAGGTTCGGTCCTCACCCATATTAATTTTAAAAAGAATCGAATTTTCCAGAATCAAAGCGAGTCAAACTCAATTTTAAAAATCTAAAAAGTTAAATTTAAAAAAAAAATATCTAATTTTTTTAATAAAAATCGTAATCGAACCGAATATAATATAATATCTTATTGATACCTATTTTTATAAAACCGAATGAAGTGAACCGAACCATTCTCAATCCAAATCAGAACCGAAAACCAAAACCGTTATCCCTACACCCTACTTTTGGGTAGGGATGTTAAATGGGCCGTCAGCCCACGAGCCAGCCCTAAACCAAACCATTTAACACCGAGCTGGGTCAGCTATTCTAGAGCCCGTTTATAAACGGGCCTAACGAGCTGGCCCGTCACGAGCCAGCCGAACCGCGAGCCAGCCCTAACGAGCTACGGGCCAGCCCGCGAGCCCAAACCTTTTTTTTTTTATTTTTTCTGTAATTTTATTTATTATTTTCCTAATTTGAAATTTTGTAACGTAACCCTAATTTTATTTCTCCACTTTCTCACTTTGTTACTCTCTTCTTCCAAACAAGCCCGAAACTTCTCTTCTCTGTTCACCGTCGTCATCATCTATCATCGTCGCCGTCGTCATCATCATCGTCGTCGCCGTCATCATCATCGTCGTTGCCGTCGTCATCGTCGTCGTCGTCACTGTCGTCATCTCCGTTGTCATCATCGTCGACTGTACCAAGTTAGTATTCATCGAATCATCGGAAGTAGTTACTCTGGTTCTTCTTCGACTTTTGCGTCGATGAGTCGATTTGGGTTTTTTGGGTTTCTGGGTTTTTGCTCAGTGCATCTATTTTCGTTGGGTTTCTGGATTTTTTGGATTTTCGGTTCTTCTTCGTCTTTTCTATTTGTTATTAGTTATTTCCAGAAAGATTTTTTGGTTTCTACAAAACGATAACATGCTCTGAATAAACTACAAATATAGATTATTAACTAAAGGGCATAATTTTTAATAAAAAAATACTCTGTATAAGGAGTTTTATCGTTGGACACAAGGAAGTCAGATCCGAACATATGATTAAATATTATTCTTTTATATTTGGATATTTTTCTTAGAGAAACAAAGGTAATATATTTGTGGATTTTGTAATTGTCTAGTAAATGCGTTTTTCAATTGGATATATGTATAATATATATATACACACATTGCTTTTCTTTGGATGCGGTGAATCCTTTAACAATTAATGAGACCATCACCCATCTTTCTTTGTTTGGTATCTTTATTTGAATTTTTTTTTATTCTTCCTTAGGTTCATATTTGTATCAGATTCGGTTGGTATCTGTCTTACTTTGGGTTCTGTTCTCTGTTGATTTGTATCAGATTCGATGGATCATATCATTGATACAGAATATGAGCAAATGGATCCAGACGAATACACACAAGACGAAGACACACAACTACAGAATTCTAGTGGAGGAATCGAAATCAATTCTCCTGTAAGTCAACCTTTGAAAGGAAAAAGAAAACTTACATCTGATGTGTGGGATCATTTTACTAGAATAAGCAAAACCCATGTTGAATGTAATCACTGCCAGAGGCCGTATGCTCAAAAGCTGGATTCACACGGAACTACAACTTTAAGAAGGCATTTGACAAAGATATGTCGTAAGAAGCCATTGATTAAAAGTATGAAGAGCATGTTTAAGGATGCCGAAGGAAATCTGAGAATAGTCAAAAAATTTGATCAAAAGGCTTCCGAGGAGAAGTTAATAAAAGCGATGATATTACATGATCTTCCATTCGCTTTTGTTGAATATGTGGGTATAAGAGATTGGGTTAATTCTATGGTTCCAGAGTTCAAGTTTTTTGGAAGAAATACCTGCACTACTCGTGTTTACGAGTACTATTCGAGGCTTAAAGCGATGGTGAAATCTGATTTGGAAAGAATTCCTAGTAGGATATCGTTGACTTCAGATTGTTGGACGGGTATCACTGGTGAAGGGTATATTTGTTTGACGGCGCATTATGTTGATGAAAACTGGAAGCTGAATAGTAAAATCTTGTCTTTTATCGATATGCCCCATCCGCACACCGGAGAAGCTTTAGCTAGTAAAGTGCATGATTTTTTGAAAGAGTGGGGGATAGAGAAGAAAGTCTTCACAATTACTTTGGATAATGCTTCGGCTAACGACTCTATGCAAGAGATTTTGAGAGAAAGGCTTTGCTTGGATAATAATTTGTTGTGCGAGGGTGAATTCTTTCACATAAGATGTTGTGCACATATCCTCAATCTAATCGTGCAAGATGGTTTAAAAGCCCTTGGTGATGCTCTTTCTAAAATTAGAGATAGCGTGAAGTATGTGAAAGCTTCGAAGGGAAGGATGAATGCTTTTGAGAGATGTCTTGAAGGTGGTAATGTTAATGGAGTTGTGTTGTCTATCGACGTTGCTACAAGATGGAACTCCACATTTCTTATGCTTGAAAAGGCTCTCAAGTATAAACGCACTTTCACTAGGTTTAAAGTGGTCGATAAAAGTTACAAGCATTGTCCTTCCGATGAAGAATGGACTAGGGCGGAACAAATATGTGAGCTATTGAGGCCGTTTCACAAGATTACGAACACAATATCTGGTTCCAATTATCCTACTTCCAATCTATATTTCGGACATATTTTCCGAATTGAGATTCTGTTGAAGAATTATTTGGATAGTAGTGATGAGCATGTCAAGGAAATGGCGACGAGTATGCATGCCAAATTCATTAAATATTGGGAGCATTATAGTGTTATTCTTGCCATGGGTGCTATATTTGATCCGAGGTTTAAGGTGCAATTCTTAAAGAAATGTTTGGGTGAACTAGATCGTGATACTTTTCATGAGAAGGTGAATTTTGTGAAAAAGAAGATGTATGCACTCTTCAAAGAATATCAAAACAAATATGCATCTTCTTCCGCTAGAGCTCACTTGGAAAGAAGTGGAAGTTCGTGTCATCTTGTTACGAATGAGGGAAAAGACAGTGATCTTGAGGTGAGTATTTTAATTCATGTGTGATGTATAAATTTATATAATTGTTATTTTGTCTTTAATATTTTCAAATTTCATGTTACAGTATTTTTATGGATACGATGATAATCCAGAAGTTGAAGAAGAAGAGTGCAAGAGATCACATTTGGACATCTACTTAGAGGAACCGAAGTTCAAATTGGCGAATTATCCTAGCATTGATGTCTTAAACTATTGGAAGGATAATCGGTATCGACTACGTGACTTAGCATACATGGCTTGTGACATATTAAGTATTCCTATAACAACGGTGGCTTCGGAATCATCATTTAGCATCGGTTCTCGTGTCTTAAACAAATATAGAAGTCGACTTCTCTCTTCAAATGTGCAAGCTTTGATTTGCGCCCGTTCATGGCTAAAAGGATTCGAACTCGATACAACAAGTAAGTTTTATCTTTCTATTTTTATTACATATTATTATTTTCCTCATATGTTTAATTTTTTATCGTGTAGGTTTGGAGGATGATGCAAATGCTATTCAAGATGCAATTGATGGACTCGAGACTTTAACTATAAAAGAAACGATTTGAAGCTCATAAATCTATGATTGATTGGTTTTAGACATTGTTCGTAATGGCTTTAGACATTGTTCGTCTTTCGTAGTGGTTTGCATGATTTTTTCGTATTTTTATGGTTTTAGACATTGATCGTAATGGTTTTAGACATTGTTTGCAATGGTTTGTATGGCTTTTTTTCGGACCAACGTATTATTTTGGTATGTTTGTTATTTCACTTTGTATTTTTTGTTGGCTCGCGAGCTGGCTCGTTTAAGCGTATGAATTTGACGAGCTGGTTCGGGCCACTAAGTTTCAGCCCATTTATAAACGGTTCGGTTTGGTCCGAGCCAATAAAAAATGGATTCGTGACGAGCCGGGCTGGTCCGAGCCGGGCCAGCCCGTTTAACATCCCTACTTTTGGGTGCAAGTGCCGTGTTTGGACATGATTTTGTTTATATTTTGATCCATTATTTTTAGAATATTTTTTTGATTTTATACTTATTACAATTATTAAACTTTCATCCCATTTTTATTTTGATTTTGTTGACTTTCGGTTTTATAATAAATATATAAATTTAAATAT